TTTTTGTATCCTACTGAGATGCCAACTGCCTGCACCCAGGATTCCATTTATTTCAATCAATGCCCTTTAAAACTTGCAACCATGACTGTGAATGGACAACCAGTATCACTTGTCATGATTGGACGTTGGCTTAAGAGTAAATGCAACAACAGTTTGCACATTTTTGATGGATACCATTTTCCACCCAAAGTGCTAAGCTCAAGTCCTGCTCTGCCCATTAGAGGACATGAGATGTAAGCTGTTAAAACCTCTTACTTTCTCATTGAGGTAACCAGAAGCATCAACAGACTGTCTCAGTGTGAGATGATATTTAATATAGTGTCATCTTCCAAAATATTGGTGTTTCCCACACTTTAGAAAATACTAGTAAAAGAAAGAGTGTGAAGAGAAAACTTGAAAACCATTATTCTAGGGCACAGTAATCCCAAATTATGAGGAAAAAGAACAGGCTGGGAGTGGCACTTTCCAAAGGTTTTAGGCATTTAGAGATACCTATTTTATAGCACCCCAATACTTCAACTACCAGAATCTGCACACAAAAGAGAGGACAGGAAGCTAATATGTACCAGGTACAATAGGTTACCTTCAGGGTGCTGCTGCAGATGGGAAAGAGAGACTTTTGTTTTGCTCTGAACATTTTTATATTGCTGGAATCTTTTTTTTTTAATCCTCACCCAAGGATATTTTTTCCATTTATCTTCAGACAGACTGGGGCAGGGGGGAGAGAGAGAGAGAGAGAGAGAGAGAGAGAGAGAGAGAGAGAGAGAGAAAGAGAGAGAGAGAAAGAAGGGGAAGGAGGGAAGGGAAGGGAAAGGGAAGGGAAAAAGAAAAAAAAAAGGAGATGCCCTGGCCAGTTTTGCTCAGCGGTTAGAGCATTGGCCTGCAGTCCAGAGAGACCCTGGTTCGGTTCCCGCTAAGGGCGCGTACCTCGGTTGCAGTTTGTCCCCGGCCCTGGTTGGTTGTGCGGGAGGCAGCCACTTGATGTGTCTCTTTCACATCAATAGTTCTCTTTCTCTCTTCCTCTCTCTCCCTCCTACTCTGTCTGAACAAAAATTGGAAAAATGTCCTCAGGTGAGGATTAAAAAAAAAAAATGAGACATATCAACTGGCTGCCTCCTGCACAACCCCGACCAGGGACCAAACTTCAACTGAGGTACATGCCCTTGACTAGAATCGAACCCAAGACTCTTTGATCAACTGCTGAGCCAAACCAGCTAGGGCTATTGCTGGAACCTTTTCATTTATTTATTTATTTTGTTAATCCTCACCTGAGGATATTTTTTTTTTTGGTACGTGCCCCTAGCGGGAACTGAACCCAGAACTCTCTGGTCTGCAGGCTGACACTCCAACTGCTGAGCCAAACCGGCCAGGGCTTGAGGATATTTTTTCCATTTATTTTTAAGATAATGAAAAGGAGGGGGGAGGAAGAAACATCGATGTGAGAGAGACATATCAATTTGTTGACTCCCACGTGCACCCCAACTAGGCCAGGGATCGAACCTGCGACCCTTTGATGTGCAGGCTGATGCTCTAACCACTGAGCACATCTGCCAGGGCACTGGAATCTTTTTAAAAGAATGTAATCATGCATTCCTTCAATAATTACTACCTGGCCATGTGGGAAGTCTGGCAACTACTATGAGGAAGAAACTTATTTAACTCAGAGACTATTTTGTTTCTTAAGACTTTGGTGAATTTCACCTTTTTTTTCTGTAATCACAGAATTATTTTATTTGGAAATCTTCTCAAGGCTGATCTCCCTCTTTTATCACTTATATCATGAGCCCTTCCCAGTATCATCAGAAAGTCCTTAACAAAGTGCTTATGGTGTTAGACATTGAGACCACTCCAATACCACATATTTTCCTTTAAATCAGTTTACATTTTTCCCCTTAAATCAATTTATTTTTAAAGAGGACTTTCTACCACTACCACAATTGGGAAACTAGTATCTTTTTTTTTTTTGGTACATGCCCCTAGCGGGAACCAAACCCAGGACTCTCTGGTCCGCAGGCCAACGCTCCAACCACTGAGCCAAACCAGCCAGGGCAGGAAACTAGTATCTTTTGTCAGTAAAGAAAAAAGAAAAAGTGGGGAGAATTAAAATAAATAACAACAGAGCAAAATATTATTAAATTCTAGCTAAAATTGTTGCCTGAGCCTGAGGCCTGCTGTGTCTTTGTACAGAAAAGTAAATACCATTGCTGCTCATGCTTTCTCCTTAATTAGGATTGTACTAGAATGAAAAAGTGATGTTTGTTGATGTATCTGAAGACTGGCTGAAATTGTGTGGTTCCCCTCCCAGTCTTTGGGAAACAGACTTAAGTGCCCTCTTATTTATTTTTTTTATCCTCACCCGAGGACATTTTTCCATTTTTTTGTTCAGATAGAGTGGGAGGGAGAGAGGGGAAGAGAGAAACATTGACATGAAAGGGACACATCAAGTGGCTGCCACCCACACAACCCAACCAGGGCTGGGGACAAACTGCAACCAAGGTACGTGCCCTTAGTGGGAACCGAACCCGGGTTTCGCGGGACCACAGCTGATTCTCTAACCACTGAGCCAAACTGGCCAGGGCTTAAGTGCCCTCTTTTTTTTTTTTTTATCCTCACCCGAAGATATTTTTCCATTTTTTTGTACAGATAGAGTGGGAGGGAGAGAGAGGAAGGGAGAGAGAGACAGAAACATCGACGTGAAGGGACACATCGAGTGGCTGCCACCCGCACGACCAACCAGGGCCGGGGACAAACTGCAACCGAAGTACATGCCCTTAGCGGGAACCGAACCCGGGTCTCTCCGGACCGCAGGCTGACGCTCTAACCGCTGAGCCAAACCGGCCAGGGCTTAAGTGCCCTCTTAAAGGATGGTTTTCTCCACTGCAAGCCTTACCCTACTAGAACATGAAAACTAGTAGGCAGGGATACTGTATGCCCAGTATTTTTGGCCAGGTGTATGGCACCAGGCTGAGAGAAGGAACCAACACTTTCAGACTGAAAACTTTAATCAGAACCAACATATACACAAGTAGGGCATTTCTGCTCTGGCTCATAGCAACACAGGTCATTAGTTACAAAAACTGCCCTCCCCACCCCCCCACCCCCATGGCTGCTGATTTTCCACAGGGTCTCTGACCTGTGTTTAGTGTAAAAACTCTTCATTGAATACACTTCACAATTTGAATTCCCACCTCTGCCCCACCCCACAACACTTTGTACTCCCCTTTGGTATATAACAGGCCTGTCACCAAGACTAGACAAAAATTTCAAGGGCAGGGACCATGCACAGGGAGTTGAATGTTTTGGCTATTAGAAAACCAGTATGCTGCTCACCATGCAGCAGTCCCAATGATCAACCATTAAATTCCCAGTTTCAACAAAACCAACAAGCAGAACTCAAGGTGCAAGGTTTACAAAGCCCAAGAGAACAGGGCACATACTCCTAAACATTTTTAGCCCCAAGAATATGAAAGATATTAAGTGTCCAATGTCTTCATAAGATCTTTTGTGCTTCAGCAAACATGTGACTTGTTCACTTAGTGGGTAGGGCACAAAAGCCCAGAGATGAGGTGCCATCAAGAGGGAGCAGGTTGTGTGGTCTCATGGGATGAGTCTCTGCCGTAGAACAGGCCTGGCCAAGGTGACTGTTGACGGCTCCAACAGGAAGGCTCATTTCCTCACTGGACTCTCCAATAAGACTCAGTGGCCCCAGAACTTGCTGTGACATAAGGGAATGTGGTATTTTAAGATGTCGCTTGTCAACAAACAGTACTCTATGAAAATGGGACCACCAGTTTCCCTTAGATTCCAGAAGCTTCGAGGCAAGGGCAGGGCTTACCATACTGACATTCCCTGTCCTGGAGCCTAACAAAGTGCCTGGTGAGTGGCCAGAATGGACATATGGTGCATGAAGAACATTCCAGCAGTCATACAATTTTCAGCACCAAGCACATCTGATGTATAGTGTTAACTGTAACAATATCCAGTGCAGCTTTCCTAACTGAATCCAGTTGTTTCCAGCATCAATAACTCCCATGACAGTTTGGATCTCATACTGTATAACCAACAAGTTTAAATGCAGGAAGCAGATTATGGGAAAAGGGGGCATGTGTATGTGGAAAGGGTCTTTGTGAATGAGAGGTATAGGTTAGGAATGGAAAATTTTAGCCATGTGGCTTTCTTTGGGCTAGTTAATACTAGGACAGAGCAGAAAGATGGAGAGAAGGGAAAGGTTACACTTTTTTTAAAAAGATTAAAGTGCTGGTTTGAGGAACCAAATTAAACCAAGGGCATTTTGGAGAAACATTTTAAAAATTAAAGACATGCACCCTGGCCAGATGGCTCGGTTGGAGCATCATCGTTGCAGGTTTGATTCCCAGTCACAGGGCACATACCTAGGTTCGGGTTTGATCTCCAGTTGGGGTGTGCAGGGGAGGCAATCAATCAGTGTTTCTCTCTCACATCGATGTTTCTCTCTTCCTCTCTAAAATCAATAGAAAAACATATCCTCAGGTGAGAATTAAAAAAATAAAGCCACACATAATATTAGTAAGAACATTAGCTGCAGTAGAGATAGAGGGTTGTTAATTCTTCTCTTCCTCTTAACAGAAAAGAGTAGATTTATGTTGTATGTGATATAGATGTTAGCTCACACTTGATGAGTACTTACTATGTGCTGGGCACTCAGTTCTAAGTGCTTTACATCTATTTATCCTCACAACGGCCCTCTGAGGTAGGTAAATATTATTTTGCCTGTTTTACAGATGAGGACACTGAGGCCCTGAGAGGTTCCATGACTCTCTAGGTCACTTAGGTAGCAGTTGGCAGAGGTGAGATTTAACTCAGGAGACTAGCTAGAGTCTACCGGCTTCTTTTGTTTTCATTGTTTTAATGAAACTTGTGTGCAAATTTTATAATCAATCTTTATTAACAAAGAGATGTATCTATATTGTGGGGGTAGGGGTAGGGGAAGGATGGACTTACAATGGTTTCAACTTTAGGTCTCAGATGTCAGGTCCTGCTGTCACCTGGTGGCCACAGGTAGCATTGCTACTTGTTAACTTTTGAGTGTGAACTTGCTGATGTCGGTGGAGACCTAAGTAGCAGGGAAAGGCTTTCTGACAGTGTTGACACTGATACGGTTTTTCTTGGGTATGAATTCTCTGGTGCTGACTGAGATGGGCACTGAGGCCAAAGGCTTTCCCACACACATCACAGATATAAGGTTTCTCCCCAGTGTGAATTCTCTCATGCTGCCTCAGATTTGCTTTCTGGGAAAAGGCTTTCCCACATTCAGCACACAGGTATGGCTTCTCCCCGGTGTGAACTCTCTGGTGAATAGAAAGGCACGAGCTCTGGCTGAAGGATTTCCCACATTCCTGACAAAAGTAAGGCTTTTCTCTGGTGTGAACTCTCTGGTGTCGAATGAGTGGAGCATTCAGGCTGAAAGTTTTCCCACAGTCACCACATTTATAGGGTTTCTCACCTGTGTGAACTCTCCGATGCTTAGAAAGGCGCCAGCTGTGTCTGAATGTTTTTCCACATTCATTACACTCAAAAGATGCCTTTCTGGCATGAGTTCTCTGATGCTGAGTAAGGTACTTACTGTGCACAAACACTTTGTCACACTGGTTACATTTAATGGGTTTCTCTGCAGTGTGAATTAACTGATGTTCTGAGAGACGAGCACTTTGACTGAAGGTCTTTCCACATTCATTACACTTAAAGGGGCACTCACTCTTGTGGATATACTGATGTTTGGTGAGGGAGGTGATGCGGATGAAGGCCTTCCCACAGTCCCCACATTTATATGGCCTCACTCCAGAGTGGATGATCTGGTGGCGAATGAGCTGTGCACTTTGGCTAAAGGTTTTCCCACACTGGTTACATTCAAAGGGTTTCTCCCTGGTGTGAAGCCTCTCATGCTGAGTCAGGTATTTGCTGCAGCTGAAGGTTTTCTCGCATGTCTTACACTTAAAGTGCTTCTCGCCAATCCTTGGATGCTCTTTCTGTTCTAGGTTCTGATTCAAGATTTTTCTGCTCTCCTCAAGTCTTTGTTTTTCTTGGGTGTGAACTCTCTGGTGGCAAGTTAGGGTCGAGCTGCAAATGAAGCGCTCACCACACTCTTGACATTCATAGCGGGTTTCCAAAGCATGAATTTTTTGGTGTTGAACAAGGCGTTCATTATGGCTGAAGGTCTCCTTGCATTTGGCACAGCTGTAGGGCTTTTCCGTGGCATGAACAGATTGGTGTCGCATCAGGTGGGAAGGCCGGCTGAAACTCTTGACACATTTGTTACATTTGTGGGGCCTGTAGCCCGTGTGAATCCTTTGATGTTCATTCAGGTGAGTGTTCCGGTAGAAAGCTTTCCCACATTCACTACATTTGTAAGGCTTCTCTCTACTGTGAACCTTCTGGTGTCTCTTTAGGGTCAAGATATGGGTGAAGCATTTCCCACACTCATCACACTTATAAGGCTTTTCTCCAGTGTGAGTAGACTGGTGTTTGATGAGAGATGAGTTCCGCCTGAAGGCCTTCCCACATTCCTGACACTTAAAGGTAGTTTTTGCAGCATGAATTTTCTGATGTTGGAGGAGGTATTTGTTAAAGTTGAAGGTGGCCTTGCATTTGGCACATTCATAGCGTTTCCGAGTGTGGGTCTTCTGATGTTGAGTAAGATGAAAGGTTCGGCTGAAACTCTTGCCACACTTGTCACACTTGTAGGATTTATCATTTCTGTGGGTTTTCTGCTGCTCAACAAGCTGTGAGCCATGACCCGATGGATGGTCACTGTCTTGACTCTTACATGTTTTTTCTTCAGTGTGAATTTTCTGATGCCACAGAAGGTGTGTGTTGTGACTAAAAGTTTTCCCACACTTGTTACACACATAGGATTTGTTTTCTGTGTGAGTTGTTGGATATGCAAAAAGGCAAGGACTCTGGTTGAAACTGTTCTCATACTCTTGATTCCCAGTTGGTTTCTCACTCATATGAATAATCCAGTGCTGGATAAGATGGCAACTCCGGCTAAAGCTCTTCCCACATTCACTACATTTATATGGTTCTGCTCCTTCCTGGACAGTATCCTGCTGACTCTGGTCTGAATGGGAGCCAGTGTCATTCCTATATTCCTCAGATTTAGCTGGCATCAGGCTGTTCTCGGAAAGATCATGGATCAGGGAATCCTCTCCTGTGAAAAGGAGGGACTCAAGAGTGAGGCCACTCTTGAGTTCATGACTCTTGCACTCTGTGGGACTTTCCTTATTGGTGACAACATCAGAGCTCAGAAGACTTTCTGGATCTCCTAGCAAACTATCCAACCAGCTCTCGTCTATGCAGGCTTCTCCCAAGTTGGAGTTCCAGAGGCCATCCTTGGAAAATGCCTCCAATATCTCCTGAGAGAGTCCTTCTTCCAAGAATTCCTGTGGCAGAGGGGAGATCTTGGCCTCAGCTGTGTCTGAAAGAGAGAAAGTATAAATGTCTGTTCCCCAGGGTGAAAAGACAGGAGCTGCAGGGTGAGGACACAGACAAGAGAGAGAACAGGGGATGGGTCCTGAGTCAAGCCTGTCCATCAAAGGGATGAAGGAAAAGAGGCCAAAATGGTGATCCAGCTGGAACCCGCATCACAGGAGACAGGGAACCCATGTCCACGAGAGTTAAGATGGGAGCTGGGCTGCAGAGCCTCCACAGTGAGAGCAGGGGGTGAGGGGAACTCTCGGCAGATACTCTCCACCACCACCTTCATCAGCTGAGGACTACTTCCTAGAGAAGTACACTGATCAAGGGACGAGACATAAATGATAACAATGCCATACGACTGTTACCACAGAGGCTATATTTGCTTGTTAATAAAGGTGTAGCTCCACATGCTTGGAAATAGCCTTATGTTGAGGTGACAAAAACAGAAATCCAAGATAGCAGGAATCTGTGCCTGGGTTAGTCACCTATGTGAAAACACTCACAAGCTCCTGAGGTGAGCCAAGAATGGAGCTGCATGCTGACCAAGCTATGCAGCCACTTCGCCATGGTTTCTGGTTCAGGGCCCTTCTCCTGTTAATGAGCAAACCATGAGAAAAGCCTCTCATGCCCCAAGCAAGGCCCCTGCCTCTTCTTTCTCCCACTGGGTTCGTCTCGACAGCATCACACCAGAAATCTTCACTGCTTAACCTGATCCCCCTGGGGAACTGTGGCCTGGGAGAGGGCAAAGCAAATACCCAGGCTTGAGTTGTGGCCATCTACTGTTCTCCATGGACCAGGAAGGAGGGCTGGGCCTGTACAAAGGAGTCAAAACAGGTAGACCAGGCTGTCCACAGTACTCAGGGGGCATGAGGCAGGCAAATGGAGACCAATTTGGGAAATGAAAGGACACCCCCTGCTGAGTCTGGAAGGACCAAAGAGGGGACAGAGGAAAGGCACCAGGACAGCCATGTGCTGAATGATGAGGTACACAGAGATCAGGAGGGCTTGCAGAGTGTCCTGATCCCAACTGGGACAGAGGGACAGAAGATACATGTGAAGACTAAAGCCCAGAAACCGGGGTCCAGATGGTTGGGTAGACATACTCTGAGGACAGAGGGCACACAGAGGGCTGTGCCACAAGACCCCACTACCCTCTCACCAGGTGCTGGTGGCCCCTCCCCCACCCACTCACCAGGGCCTGTCACTTCCGGACTTCCTCTCACCAGGGTCTCCAGCTCTTCCCCACCATCTGGATAGGAGGAAGTCAGGTTGGGTCTCAGGGGGTCTGCAGGGAGAGAACAGCACTGTTGTTAATCAGGATGTGGCGGGCTATCCAGCCACTCAGTGGTAACCTCTTGGCTCTCCTGACTACAGTCATCCCTTGCCACTTCACACTTCGACTTTCACAGCTTCACTCTATCGTGGTTTTTTCAAATATATTCATTAAAAAACTGATCGAGCCCTGGCCGGTTTGGCTCAGCGGTTGGAGCGTCTGCCTGCGGTCCGGAGAGACCCAGGTTTGGTTCCCGCTAAGGGCACGTACCTCGGTTGCAGTTTGTCCCCGGCCCTGGTTGGTCGTGCAGGTGGCAGCCACTCGATGTGTCCCTTTCACATCGATGTTTCCCTCTCTCTTCCTCTCTCTCCCCTCTCCCTCCCACTCTATCTGTACAAAAAATGGAAAATGTCCTCGGGTGAGGATAAAAAATAAATAAAAAGTTGATCGAGACAGTGAAAATGATACAGCATGCACTCGGTTGTCTGAGTCAATTATACATTCCTGTATTACAATTAAAATTACTGTACATGTGGACTGTAGGCCTATGTATTCAAGCACCCACGAATCCTTCAATGCCAGGTGCAACTGCTAGAGTCTGGAGCGGATTAACAGTGATAAACGAGGGACGACTGTATTCACTGCTTTATCCAGCACACACTCCTGGGTGACTCCAGGGACGCCTGCCCTGCAGGGTTCCAGGTTCAGTGGAAGAGAGGGACTCAGTCACAATCCAGGATGATCAGAGCTATGAAAGCTAGGGCTGTGGACACAGGATTTGGAACAGCTCAAGGGATGAGCAGACTTTATCAGGTAAAGGGGCCCATAATTACTCAGCCACTCACAATTCACTCATTCACCTGTGGACCACACATTGTTCAAAGCCTCGGTGGGTTGGGCTCTCTGACAGATAATGTTAGGTCCTAGAGCTCAAGCAGTCCTTCACACTGCCTTCCCCAAACTTCCTCAAGGAAAGGAGCAGAGTCGTAACCCAAGGATACATGCTACAGTGGAGGAAAGGCCACTGCTGGCTTTGAAGATGAAGGAAGGGGCCATGAGCCAAGCAATGCAGGAGGCTACTAGAAGCTGAAAAGGAGCAAGGAAACAGATTCTGCCTGGGAGCCAGCCCTGCCAACACCTTGATTTTAGCCCAGTCAGACTCATTTTAAACTTCTGAACTGCAGAACTATAAGAATAAATGTTCCATTTAAACCACTACATTTGTGGCATTTGTAGAAGAAGCCATAGGAAACTAATACCCTCCTCATACATACACACAGATGTGCAGAGGAGTCAAAGGAAATGCATTTCTACTGTGGACTGGAGTTTAAAACCTGGACAGACACTGAGATTGGACCTCCCTTAAGCTGCTTCTACAGCACACATTGAGTAGTTTGGAGAAAACCTGTCCCAATGTGATAAAATTACATCAAATATGGTTTCCAGTATATAATCTTATTTTTTATCTTTTGGAATAAATTCTTGTTTTTGGAAAAGAAAGAACTGAATGCTTGGCCAGGTAGCTCAGGTAGCTAAAGTGTTGTCCTGATATGCCACAGTTGAGGATTCGATCCCCAGTCAGGGCGCATACCAGAATCAACCCATAAATGCATGAATAACTGGAAAAACAGATTTCTCTCTCCATCTCTCTCCCTCCCTCTTTTTCTCTAAAAAATCAATTTAAAAAATGTGTTAAAAAAAAAAAAGAAAAGAAACTAGAGAAAGGGAAATGAGTTGATCCTGATGTGGTGACAGTGATACGGAGCTGGAGTACCATGGCCCTGGAGCTGCACAGGTCCCAACCAGACTGTCAGCCGTGCCATTTGCTTACTGTGTGATGCTGGTGGTTACAGCCAGGTGAAAAGGGCTAAAAGAACAGGCTGACGGTTCTCCTTGGAAAGGCCTGCTCGCTAGGCTGCCCTTGGCTACTGTCTAAGAACCTAGATTTTGGTGGGTTCCAACATTCTCTAACCAGTAAGAGGGGCTCCCTCTGCCCAAACTGTTCTGCTGAACACCTGCTTTCCGTCTGAGTGTCTGGAATGTTGGTACATTCCAAGTAGAGGGTACCTACATAACAAGCCCTGAATAAAAGCCCTGGGTGCAGAGCCTTCAATGAGCATCCCTGGTAGACATTTTACACGTGCTGTCACACCCCGTTGTGTCCTGTGTGACGCCACAGGAAGAGGGCTCTGGAAGTTGGCACTAGTCTCCCCTGGACTTCACACCACACGCCATTCCCCTTTGCTAACTGTACTGTGTGTCCTTTTGCTGTGATGAATATGGCATGAGTACAGTTATATGCGGAGCCCTGCATGTGTTCTTAGTAAGTCACCAAACCTGGGGGTGGTCCTAGGAATTTGAATGCAGCTGTGAAAATTATCCCCTCTTTGAACCTTTTTAAGAACACTCAATAAAATATGGAGTCAGATTTCTCATAGGGTGACTGGAAGATTGAAGGAGATAGTTCTAAGGGCTCACCCAGCACAGAATCTGGCTCCTGACACAGCATTTCCCATGATTCATTCATTTATTAATTTAGGAACTGTTTATTGAGTCCCCAGAGCAGGTACTGTTTGTTGCAAATGCTGGGAAACACTAGGGAATAGCACAGGTGCCCTTAAGAAGCTCCAATCTGGCAGAGAGCAATAAATCATAATAGGAGCAGTCCGAAAATGGAGGAGCGGTGACTAGCTAAGCAGGAGAGAGGGGAGGGAGTGCTAATGGAGTCGGGAAAGCCCCGAGGCAAAGAAGAAACAAGAGTCTTCTAGGCAGAGGGGAGAACAAATGTGAAGACCCTACAGTGTCAGCAGGAGGAATCCCTCTATAATGACAGAGAGGAAAACAGTGCTGCAGTAGTAGGCAGGGCTGGACCCCAGGGCTTGTCAACCTTGCCACTACTGACATTTGGGGTCAGGTAATCCTTGATTGTGGGCACTGTCCTTGTATTCTAAGATGTGTGGCAGCTTCCCTGGACTCTACCTACTAGCTGCAAGGAGGACCCCTCCCCATGTCATGACAATCAAAAAGGCCACCAGGAATTGCCAATGTCCTCTGGGGGGTGGGGGGCAGAATCAGCCAGCTGAGCACTGCTGAGCTAGATCATGCTGTTTCTGAGGTGTTCAAGAGCTGGGAGTTCATCCTATGAGTGACAGGGAGCCACGGGTGATCACCAAGCAGGGCCTGGGTGCATACTCACTCAGCAAGAAGAGATTCTGGTAGTTGTCCAGTGCCGTGTCCCAGAACAGGTCCCCTTGGTCCAGCCCTAGCTGCTCCCAGCCCTCCAAAGTGAAGTCCATGGCCACGTCCTTGAGGGTCACAAATTACTGAAACACAACACACTATCAGTGATTCGGGCTGGGGTCAGGGAGAGGCACAATGGCTCACTCAGTGCAACCCCCGCCCTCAGTGTGCCAAGGCTTTGGCAAAAATCGTCCTGTGAGAACCTTCAGACCTAAGAGACTAGACATCTCCATATTTTGTAGACAAGGACAAGGAGTCTTGGAGAAGAGACACAGGCGGGACTTAAACCCAGGTTAACCTGATCCTAAAATCCATTTATATCTGGCTTTTGCTTTTTTTCAGTGTTTGTTCAAGATTTTAAGTTTTTTATTTTATTTTATTTTGGTACATGCCCCTAGTGGGAACCAAACCCGGGACTCTCTGGTCTGCAGGTCAACGCTCCAATCACTGAGCCAAACCGGCCAGGACAAGATTTTAAGTTTTTATTATGGAAACTTTCATACATACACCCAAGTAGAGACATGTATGCAACAGACCGCCACATATCCATCACCCAGCTTCAATCCCGTTCTATTAACATGTCTGTTTTGTTTGTTAAGCCTCTTCCTCCACTTTTTTTTTTTAAACCTCACTCAAGGATATTTTCTATTTATCTTCAGATAGAGTGGGAGGGAGAAATGAAGAGAGAGAGAAAGAAAAAGAGAGAAACATCGACGTGAGAGAGACACATCTACCGGTTGCCTCCTGCACAACCTTGATCAGGGCCAGGACCGAACCGCAACCGAGGTATGTGCCCTTGACCAGAATCGAACCCACGACTCATTGGTCCGCAGGCCAACACTCTACCACTGAGCCAAACCGGCTAGGGCTCTTTCCCCACTTTTATTTATTTTTTGTAGGAACTAAAATATTTCCAAGTTAATCCCAGGTGACATTTGATTTCATTTGTGAATGCTTCAGTATTAACAGTAGAACCCCTTACATACTGCATTCATACACCATGTTCAAAGTCTGTACAATTTTGTGGACCTCATTTTAATGGACTTCGGATTTAATGGACAAAATTTCCGGTCCATATGTAATATGTGAAAATTAACACCCTGTTTTAAAATGCTTGTAACCAAGATTTGCTTATAATTAAATCAGCAGGTTATTTTTTTGTTATTAACTCACTGTTATTAACAAATATTAATGAATAGGCCATATGTTGTAGTAATTTCGCTGACGTAAATATTTCATATTTACAACTCTACTGTACACATTTAAATCCAAGAATCACCACTTGTAAACAATGTTTGGCGAACGATTAGCACATGATCACATCACAATGCTCTAGGTAACTGCTTCTGTTGTCACATGGTGTGACTTTCTTGTAGCAGTTTTAACTCCTTCTGGCCAATGTTCTGACATGCACTAAACCACATCCCAGCCGTGCATATGTGTTTATTCCCAGTGCATGGTGAATGCATGAATTTACTAAACCTATTCAGTACAAATTTAAAATTACTGTAATACATATAGAAAACTTTTCTGTGAAATTAAACTTTTTATACATACTTAATTTTAATTACACAAATGTGTCTACATAAGTAAAAACAGGTAAACTAATTTGTCAATTTTTTAACATGTGCTTTTGGAAACCCTACTTTATTTATTATTTTTTGGTACGTGCCCCTAGCGGAAACCGAACCTGGAGACTCTGTTCTGCAAGTTGATGCTCCAACCGCTGAGCCAATCCGGCCAGGGCAAAACCTACTTTATTAAATGGACTTTCAGTTTAACGGACACGCCCCTCACTGGAATTAGTCCATTATATCAAGGTTTCATTGTATTCAGATTTATCTTACATCTCAATGGTGGTTTGTGGGTTTTTTTCCCAATTTTCTTTACTATCTTTATTTTTTTTCTTTATTGATTTTAGAGAGAGAAAAGGGAGAGGGAAAGAGAGAAAGAACATTGATTGGCCACCTCCTGCACATCCCCTATTGGGAATTTGGCCTACAACCTGGGCATATGCCCTGACCAGGAATTTTACACGGGACCTCTTGATGCATGGGTCAACGCTCAACCACTGAGCCACACCAGCCGGGCTCCAATTTTCTTACTGCGGTAAAATACATATAAAATTTGCCATCTTAACCTATTTTTAGTGTATAGTTCAGTAGCATTAAGTACATTCACATTGTTCTACAACCATCACCACCATCCATCTCCAGAAAACTCTTCTTGCAAACTGAAACTCTGTCCCCATTAAATAATAACTTTCCATTTCCTATACCCCCAGCCTGTCACTAAGCATTCTTCTTTCTATCTCTATGATCTTGAGTAGGTTCAATGGTATAGTTTTTTTGTTGTTTTTTTTTAAGTATGTTTTTATTGATATTTTAGAGAGAGGGAAAGGGAGAGGAAGAGAGAAAAACATCGATTCTGCACACCCCCTTCTAGGGCTCAAGCCCAAAACCTGGGCATGTGCCCTGACCAGGAATCAAAAGCAGTGAGTGACCTTTTTGGTGCACGGGACGATGCTCAAACAAGTGAGTCACAATGGCCAGGGCTCAATGGTATGTAGTTGGCTTTTTTGAATCAGAATCCAAGGAGGCCTATGCCCTATATTGGGAATTGATATGCTTTGGAAGATTTTTTTTTTTTTTTTTTTTTATCCTCACCTGAGGACATTTTTCTATTTTTTGTTCAGGTAGAGTGGGAGGGGGAGAGAGGAAGAGAGAGAGAAACATCGATGTGAAAGGGACACATCGAGTGGCTGCCACCCGCACGACCAACCAGGGCCGGGACAAACTGCAAACGAGGTACATGCCCTTAGCGGGAACCGAACCCGGGTCTCTCGGGACCGCAGGCCGACGCTCTAACTGCTGAGCCAAACCGGCCAGGGCAGCTTTGGAAGATTTTTAATCTGCACTTGTACCCCTCGAACCTTTTTGTTCCATACTCCTGATTTAGGGTGCCACACTCTGGATATGGTGCTTCCTCTTGGTGTTATTTAGCTGCTCCTCTGCCTGACACATTTCCTGGAAACTAGTCAGTAGAGCAGCAGCCTGATTAGGTTCAGTACAACTTTGAGGGGAAAAAAGTCCCCATAGGTGGCACTGGGTCCACTTCAGGCTGTATGATAGTACAAAGTGCCTGTCTGCCACTTTTAATGATGCCATCTTTCTTAATTTTAAAAGTTCCCAGTGCATGGGTATTTGAAATAAAAATTCAAATACTAGAGTCCTGGCCGGTTTGGTTCAGCAGTTAGAGCATTGGCCTATAGACCAAAGAGTCGCAGGTTCAATTCCAGTCAAGGGCATGTTCCTCAGTTTCAGTTCAATCCCTGGCCCTGGTTAGAATTGTGCAAAAGGCAACCAATCAATGTGTCTCTCTCACATCAATGTTTCTCTCTCTCTCCCCCCCCTTCCCTCCCTCCTTCCTTCTCTCCCTCCCTCTCTATCTGAAAATCAATAGAAAAATATCCTCAGGTGAGGATTAAAAAAAAAATTCAAATACTGGAGAAGTACTGACAATAAAAAAATGACAGTCTGCCCAGCTGGTGTGGCTCAGTGGTTGAGCATCAACCCATGTACCAGTAGGTCTCTGGTTTGATTCCCGGTCAGGGCATATGCCCAGGTTGTGGGTCAAATCCCCAGTGGGGGGCATGTAGGAGGCAGCCAGTTGATGTTCTCTCTCACTGATGTTTCTATCTCTCTCTCCCTCTCCCTTCCTCTCTCTCTAAAATCAATAAAGAAAAAAAATTTTTTTTAATTAAAAAAATGACAGCCTTCTCCAGTACCCTATCTCTAGGTGAACCTGTGGCTGTCTGGTGTGTTCCTTCCAGACCTCCATCAACACACACACAGACACATTTCAAATAAGAATGAAACTTGAGTCTTTAGATTGGATCAGAGGCATGGCCCCACTCCCTTCCTCTGTGGGTAACCATTGGCAATGAAGTCCCATGCCCCCTCCCTCCAGAACTCTGATTCCTGCCCCATCATGTAAGATGCTCTGGGAAGTGACTAAGATGCTGCTGGGAAGCTCCTACACGGTTCCTAGCACACAGGAAGAACTCAACCAAAGGGAAGAATGTCTGCTCTGGCAGACATGGGCAGGGACAACCACATCCAGGTGGATTTGTTCTACAGTGGAGGCAGTAGGTGGTGCTATGGGACACCAGGGCAGGGAAGAGCTCTGGGAAGGAGGGGGAATGGAGCTGGGTCTTAAAGGCTGTGCAGGACTTACCTGAAGGGAGTATCACTTGTGTGAGTAAAGGGAAGAGAAGAGGCCATGGGGAGGGGGCAGGACCCAGATCATGCAGGAATGAGCTGATAAAAACCTGGATTTTATCCTGTAAGCAACAAGGATTCCTGGAAAGTTACTGAGTAGGAAAGCAAGAACATGAGAGCTTTACTTTAAGATCCTTTGGGGCCACTATAGGACAGTGAGCCCGGAACAAAGGCAGGCCAACTGTGCAGCCTTTGGGGATGATCTGTTAGGACAGAAGGACTCTTGACTCACCTCTGTAATAGCCGACTAAGTCCAGCAGCCAGAGTCCTAGTTTAAGCTCCTCCTCCTTCCCCTCCATGTTCCCAGCAAGTAGGGCTGCAGGAAGGACAAGGAAACTGGGAGGAGGTCTTCTTTCCTTCTAGGACTGATTTCCTGGCCATGCTGGTTGTCCAGAAGTAGGATAAGTCAGAGCATGAGTCTCCCTGCAGGAATCACAACAATTGTTATTTATTGAAACTACCCCAGCCCCCAATTTCCACTGTGCTTCAAAGCCTACAAAGCAACTTCACAACCATTCTTAGCACTTATCACAATCAGTGAATACACAGTTGGGACCTTCTGTCTTGCACACTGCTGTGTCCTAGCACAGCAGAGAATATCTGTTAACAGAATACATGTGTCTCTCTAACTGAACCCTTGGGGCAATGCTTCTGAGATTTTGGATTATCTACCATCTCTAGGATTTGAGTCCAAGTGAGTTGGCCTCCAAACGGTTGCTATTTCTACAGCAGGAAGAGTTCTTCAACTTTCTTTTTTAACTATGATCCACAGAAACAAAGGCAATATATAGCACAACTGCTCATTCACACCATAACTAAACAAAAGCTTTATGAGATAATACTTAATCTTACAAAGTGGAATGTACTAGGATAATTTTTTATTCTAGTCACTTTCTACTCATTAAGAAAAAAAATATGGCCCTGGCCAGTTTGGCTTAGCGGTTAGAATGTTGGCCCACAGACCAGAGACCCAGGTTTGGTTCCCGCTAAGGGCACGTACCTCGGTTGCAGTTTGTCCCTGGCCCTGGTTGGGGTCGTGTGGATGGCAACCAGTTAATGTGTCTCTCTCACATCGATGTTTTTTTCTCTCTCTCTCCCCCTCTCTCTCCCTCCTGCTCAATCTGAAGATAAATGCAAAAAATGTCCTCCGGTGAGGATACAAAAAAAAAAAAAAGAAAGAAAAAATTATGGTCATTGCCCACTAAGTTATTTTCATGACCCACAATTTGCAAAACACTGTACCAGAGGGCTTTTTACATGCAGCCACTGTGAATTTACTGAGGAGCATGTATCTACAGAGCATTGAAAACACTCCATATCACGAAGCAGCAGGATGACTCGGTGACACAGGACCACAATTCTTGAGCCTCTGGGGCCAGATGTGCTTTGAAATTCAGAAATTTTCAGATTTTAAAAAGGCGAAATACATGTATACAATATATTATATAAAAATCACAAATTGCAGCATAGGATCAGCAGCATTTTGTTATCGAACACTTAAATATTTCTAGAGTGAAGGGTATGAATATTCATCCTAGGAAAGGTAATTAAAGGTTATAAATCACAGCAGTTTGGGTCAGGTTTGCACCTCAAATTTATGGAGGGGGAAATGGTCTTCAGAGCTTTCTAGATTTTGTGCTTGCAGATAAGGCAGTGTGGTATACCAATAAGTGCCAACGTTTGCTCTCAGTGCTTTTCTTCACATGACAGAGGTAAGCCTCCACTTGTGAGTATAATTCAGCCCACAGATAACTATATTTGGCCCATACAGTGTTGGCAAATAGGAGGTTTTTAAAGAAAATTATTTTAAGTAGTCCCAAACTTGAACACTGGGATATTTCATCTAAAAATCTGATCTCCAGCTGCTGAAAAAAATCCTAGGGTTTGGCCATGCCGGGTCCCCCTTCGATGGGCAAACACTCCCCGATGTCTGGGATGTAAAAGTAATAAAGGCAGGCCCTGGCCAGTCTGGCTCAGCGGTTACAGCGTCGGCCTACGGTCTGGAGAGACCCGGGTTCGGTTCCCGCTAAGGGCACGTACTTCGGTTGCAGTTTGTCCCCGGCCCTGGTTGGTCGTGCGGGTGGCAGCCACTCGATGTGTCCCTTTCACGTCGATGTTTCTCTCTCTCTCTCCCTTCCTCTCTTTCCCTCCCACTCTATCTGTATAAAAAATGGAAAAATATCCTCGGGTGAGGATAAAAAAAAAAAAAAAGTAATAAAGGCAGGATCTCTCCTTTACCTGAACTTGAGACCTCTGCCTAGTTTCCACATCACAATCTCTCCACATCTCATACACCCCCAGCCCTGGAAAGGAAGAAACGGGGGCCCTCCAGGGCCCCCAGCCGGTCAGAGTGCCTTGAGCCACGGAGGCTTGCTTCTCTAATGCGGGACGACGGCCACATCGTTCCCCGTCTCTGCACCTCCCTGTCCACAGGGACAAAGTGGCCCAAATACAGCAGAGCCACAGTCCCTTACCTGTCATTCTAAAATCCAAAACGCTCTAAAAATCAGAACTGGACTCACACACTGGCAGCAAAATGTAACCCGAACTGCCGCGGGCCACGCACAGTCTGTCTGTCTGCCGTTCAGGGTGATTACCCACGGCTCTCCTGGCAGAAATATTCGATTTCCAGGAGTTGGCCCCGATCCCGCCGTGGGGGGGAGGGGGGGTCTAATAATGAAATCTGCGCCCTACGGACTCTCAAGTCCGAGTCCCGGGGTGACCCCGGCGCCGAGGTTGCCCGACGAGCCCGGGAGCCGCCGTCGGCGCCGACGCGGAGGTTACAGAGAAAAGGCGACAGCTCGGCGCCAGGCTCCCAGAAAGCGCTCCGATCAATGTCCTCTCACCTCCTCAAAGAACTCCCACCCCTTCACCCCTCAAGACCCTGCCCTGCGCTGCCAACGGCTTCGGGTTAACCCCCTCGTTTTCCTCCCCGCAAATAAACGAAGACGGAACCGCTCGCCTCGGGGCTGCGGACGAGAGCTGGAAACCACTTTAGCAAGAGCCTGGCCCGCGACCAGCTCGGAACGAGGGTTCACGACGCCACCTGGACCCACCGCCCCAGGCGACGCACCCTCCGCCGGAGACGCCACAGGAGCGTCTCGGGACCCCTCCGGGAAGACAGACGCCCTCAAGCCTCCAGAGTCCTCGGCGACCCCAGTCCCGGCGTCCCCTCACCTGGAGACTGCGGTCCGCCGAGTTAACAGACGCGACCCCAGCCCGGGTGGAGCCGCGGAGCGGATTCCTCTCACACGCGCCGCTCACAGCCACTGCCGGCGCCGCGCGAACCTCCTCAGGAGCTCTCCCCGCTCGAGCCTCCGCGCCAACGCAGAGACTACATTTCCCAGAGGGCTGTGCTTGTCCGCCTGGCCCCACCCGCTTCCCCGCCTTCAGGGAATCCCGCTGAGCACTTCGGGAAATAGAGTAGAAACGGAATCGGGATCGGTGGTAACTGGGTATTGCAGTCCAGCTTTTATCCTGTTGAAGCACAACCTTATCAGCTTTCTGCCTTTTCTAGAAGAAGGGGAGGCTTTTGATTTCTCAAGGAGACAACCGAAGGGTTGTCATAGAAACACGTCGAGAAAATCGGAAACCTGAGCAGATGCGCGCAACGGGCGAAGTTGAGGCGGCGAAATACCGTGACCCCTGCTGATTGGCCGATACATGCCCCATAGTTTATTGCTTCTTACGATTGGCTTCACATTGGCACATGCGCAGTAGAACCAGGCGGCATTCCAAAGAGGGCGATATAGGGGTGGGCCATCAGGGAATAATCTCAACCCCGGCCTCCAATCAGAGGGCCGGTCTGCCGCGAAGGTGTCTCGGGAAATGTAGTTCCGTGGTAGGCACAAGCCAGGGGCAGTCGGGAGGACAGCAGCGCCTGCGCGGGAGCGGGCCTGCCTCAGAGCGGAGAGTGCGCGCGCAGCACCTTCCTGGCCAGCGGAAGTTTACGCTGGGCCACTGAGAAGGTGAGTCCCAGCCATTCGCCTGGGTCAGGTATTTGTTCTCCACCCGGCTCCCCGAGTCCGGAAGTGAGGGGAAGGCAAGACTTAGCAGGGCGAAGTCTCCAGATATCCTCTGCGCAGTTAGGTCGTGGTGCCTGTGTCGTCAGCATGACCCTTTGTGGGAGGCGGAGCCCCCCGGGCAGGTTTTGGGAGAAGCTTCTGGTCACCGGGGTAGTTGGCCTGTCCCAACCCACTTTAGGCTCTTAGTGGTGGGCTTGGCTACGACTGAGACGGGTGGAGCTAATGGAGAGTTTGACAGAAGCCCGCCTTGGCACTGCATCACCCCTGGTTTCTGCTTAGGGCGGGCTCAGGCGAGTCGCGGTCGCCTGTGACTGCCCCTCCTGCCTGAGGCCGAGTCTAGCCTTCAGAACCTTTCAGGAGGGACACTATATTTAACACACCGCAGATGTGCAGTAAATATTTGTTGAAGAAATAAATAAAAGAATAAATGATATGTGAAGTCAGCCTGAGTCAACTTCTCCACCTTTATTTACTTACAGAACACTGTTAAGATGGAGATTCCAGCCCAGTGAATCTGAGGGCCAGACCGTGATCCCATAAAGGTACCATCTCCTGGGGCACGTGCCCCTTAAGCTCTGTTCCCTACCAACAACCTGCTACTGCCCCATCTCTTCCGTGTCACTGTTCTCATACTTTGGTTCCCAGGAGGAGACTGTTGTTGTGGGCATGAGAGGGTCACTGGATTAGGTGCTTGCCCCATCCTGGAGGCCATCTTTATCCAGGGGTACTTGGCACCTGGGAAATTCTGCTTAAAGCTACGTAAAACTACCACAGATTTTCAAACTTTTGTTTACGGAAGTAATCTAGCAAAGCGTCAGTGTAGTAGTCTAACCAGGCTAGACTATATTGCAGTAACAACAACCCCCAAACCTCAGTGGCTTAACCCAAACACAAGCTTCTCACTAATACAAAGCCTGGAACAACTAACTTTCCAGGGTAGCCGTCCTCTAAGCAGTTTTGATGTGTGGTTTCATCAACACAGGGCTTTAGGTTTGTTGTGGCCTGTGGTAGTGATTCCTCCAGCTTGACAAAACTACTGTTTCTTTGTGACAAAACTACTCTATTTTGCCCTGGCCAGTTTGGCTCAGCAGTTGGAGCATCGGCCCACAGATCAGGGAGACCTGGGTTCGGTTCCCGCTAAGGGCATGTACCCTGTTGAGGTTTGGCAACCACTCGATGTTTCTCTCTCTCTCCCTCCCATTCTATCTGAGGATGGATGCAAAGATGTCCTCAGGTGAGGATTAAAAAAAATAATAATAATAACTGCTCCATCTTCTTTGAGAAGGTAGAGATATCCATTTCAGTGCTATTACCAGGACAACAATTATCAAGTTATATGACCAATCAGATTTACAGGCTTCTTAGGAGCTAAAGGATACTTGACAGCAGTCTTTGCAGTCAGATGGCTTACACACCTCCTTGTTGGGAAATAACAGAAGGGCAGTTTTACGCAATGGTATGATTTCTGCTCTTCTTCTGCAGACCTAGGGGAAGAGGAACCCTTTTCTCTAGCTGAGATTTCTTTCACTAGCTGTTTAAACAGCCTGTGTTTTTTCAAAGGTAGGCCCTGGAATTCCATGAGGCAGCACCAAGTGGAAACAAAAAGGCCTGAGAGGCTCAGAACTTAGGGTATGTCAAGAAAAAAGGGGATGCCCAGCCAGTGTGGCTTAGTGGTTGAGCATCGACCCATGCACCAAGAGGTCGCCAATTCTATTACTGGTCAGGGCACATGCCCAGGTTTTGGGCCAGATCCCCAGTGGGGGGCGTGCAGAAGGCGGCCAATCGATGTTCTCTCTCAACAATGTTTCTATCTATCTCTCCCTCTCCCTTCCTCTCTTTCCAAAATCAATAAAGAAAAAATTTTTTAAAGGGGGAAAATAGAAATATTAACAAATAGGATATAATAAATGAGATAGAGGGCGTGACATGACAATAACAACCACTAACATAAAAGGCTTTTCATGGGCCTGACCCTGTTCTGCACTTGCTATAAATTAATTAATTTAGGCCTCAACAATGATTCTATCAGATAGATTAAAAGCCCCATTTGCTGTTGGGAAAGACTGAGGCCAGAGAGGTTAAGTTAGTTGCCCAGCACATAGCAGATCTGGAACTCAAATCCAGGTAACCTGGGACTAGAACTTGTGATTTTTTTTTTGATTTTTTTTATCCTCACCCAAGGACATTTTTCCATTTTTTGTTCAGCTAGAACGGGAGGGAGAGAGAGGAAGAGAGAGAGAGAGAGAAACATCGATGTGAAGGGACACATCGAGTGGCTGCCACCCGCACGACCAACCAGGGCCGGGGACAAACTGCAACCGAGATACGTGCCCCTAGCGGGAACCGAACCCGGGTCTCTCTGTACCGCAGGCTGATGCTCCAACCGCTGAGCCAAACCGGCCAGGGCTAGAACTTGTGATTTTAAAGAGCTCTGTGTTGCAGTTGCAACAGAGACCAATCTTTACAGTGAATAAAGGAAAAGCATTTGATTAGACCAAGCCAGACACAGAAATATTGCCTGATCTCACTTATATGTGGAATCTAAAAAAAAGGCCAATTCATAGTAACAGAGAGTAGAATAGTGGTTACCAGAGGCTGTGAGAGAATAGGGGAGATATTGATCAAAGGGTACACACACTTTCAGTTATAAGGTGAATAAGTTCTGGAGACCTAATGAATGGCATGGTGACTGTAGTAAATAATAATATATTGTATACTTGAAATTGTAAAGCATATCTCACCACACACCAAAAAAGTAACTATGAGAGGTGATGGTTATGTTAATTAGTTTGATTATGGTAATCATTTCACAGTGTATACATACACCAAAATATCACATACACCTTAAATATATACAATTTTTATTTTCCAAAAATAAAAGAACTATCTCTTATAAGGTGAAAGGAATCCACGAGCCTGTTTATTTTTACTTCTATTTTAATAACCCAGTTTATAATTGGTACTGTATAGTAAGTCTTAGAAAAAGAACATGCCCTGGCCGGTTTAGCTCAGTGGTTAGAGTGTCGGTCCATGGACCAAAGAATCACAGGTTCGATTCCGGTCAAGGGCACGTAACTGGGTTGTGGTTTGTCCCCGGCCCTGGTCGGGGTCCTGCAGGAGGCAGCCAGTCAATGTGTCCTTCTTACATCAATGTTTCTCTCTCCCTCCCTCCATCCCTCCCTCCCACTCTAACTGAAGATAAATGGAAAAATATCCTTGGGTGAAGATTAAAAACAAAAGAGAAAGAACAAATAAGAGAATTTGTTTCTTTTGCTATTTAAAATATGTATATTCATTAGAAGTGTCTATTGCACTGTAATCCTTGTTGATTTTTCTCTTCACTTATTAACTAGTTTCATCCTGCTTTTAATGGACTGAACTGAGTCCTGTAAAAATTTGTATGTGGAAAACCTAAGCCCAGGTACCTCAGTTTGTGACCATATTTGGAGACAAGACCTTTAAAGAGGTAGTTAAATTAAAATGGGTTTGTTAGGGTGGGTCTGCTAAGGTCTAAATGTTTGGATTCCTCCAAATTCGTAGATTTAAATCCTGATCCCCTGTGTGATGGTATTAGGAGATGGGCTTTGGGGAGGGGATTACATCATGAGTGCTCCATCCTCATGAGTGAGATCAGTGTCCTGTGAATGAGATCTCAGAGAGCTCCCTAGCTCCTTCCACTGCGTAAGAACACAGCGAGGAGTTGTCAGTCTGCAACCCAGAGGAGGGCCTTCATCAGAACTAGCCATGGTGGCACCTTGATCCTGGACTTCCTAGTCTCAGAACTGTGAGAAATACATTTCTGTTATTTATAAGCCACCCATGCTGTGATCTGTTATTATGACAACTCAAACAGACTGAGACAGAGCCCTAACCCAATATGATTGGAGTCCTTAGCAGAAGAGATTAGGACACAGATAGAGGGACGACCATGTGAGGGCACAGTGAGAAGCCAGCCATCTGCCAGCCAAGGAGGGTGGCCTCAGAAGAAACCAAACTGGTTGATGCCATGATCTCAGACTTCTAAAGTTGTGAGAAAATAATTTCCTGTTGTTTAAGCCACCCAGTCTGTAGTACTTAATTATGGCAGCCTTAGCAAATGAATACACCTGCCATATCTTCATTTGTGGTAGGTTCTAGGTGTGTTGTTGGTTTTGATTTTTCAAGTATTAGTCCCTGGCCGGTTTGGCTCAGCGGTTAGAGCATCGACCTGCGGACCAAAGAGAAACGGGTTCGATTCCAGTCAAGGGCATGTACACGTACTTCAGTTGCGGTTTGGTCCCCGGCCCTGGTTGGGGGTCATGCGGGAGCATCCAATCAATGTGTCTCTCTCACTTCGATGTTTCTTTCTCTTTCTCTCTCTCTCTCTTTCCCTCTCTCTCTCTCTCTCTCTCTCTCTCTCTCTCTCTTTCTTTCTTCCTCCCTCCCTCACACTCTATCTGAAGATAAATGGAAAAATATCCTTGGGTGAAGATTTAAAAAATTAATTAAAGTATTGGGAAATATTTCATGTCCAGCTGGTGTGGCTCAGTGGTTGAGTGTCGACCCATGCAGTAAGAGGTCGCCAGTTTGATTCCCAGTCAGGGCACATGCCCAGGTTGTGGGCCCGATCCTCAGTGCGGGGCATGCAGGAGGCGGCCAATTGATGTTCTCTCATCAATGTTTCTGTCTCTCTCTCCCTCTCCCTTCCTCTCTTTCTAAAATCAATAAAAGAAAAAATATTTAAAATAAATAAAGTATTAGGAAATATTTCAGAGATACACAAGGCTTAGAAATAATGCAGTCAGTACCCATTGTCTCACTAAGTCAGGATAGGATAGTTGTGTTGCAGGAACAAATAAACCCTGAAATCTTGGTTGCTCAATACAACATTAGTTATTTGCTGATCACAGGCTTCCGGTGTAAACCAGGCAGACCTTCATCTCATAGCTGTGTCATTTGGAGTATGTGGCCTCCAGTGCCATCCCTGCAAGAGAGGGGAGGGGAGGGGAGGGTGGAGGAGGTACTCTAGCTCCTAACTGCCTCAGCCAGAAAATGACTTCTACTCACACCCCATTGACCAGAACTAGTCATGTGGCCCCAGTCTAACTGCAAGGGACCCTGGGAACTGTAGGGGAGCACATAGGTATTCGGGGAGCATTAGCTGTCTCTCCCGTTCCCACCATGTGCTTGAAGAAATGAACATCACAGCCCTGGCCAGTCTGGCTCAGCGGTTGGCCCATGGACCAGAGTTGCAGGTTCGATTTTGGTCAAGAATACCTGCCTCACCCTGGCCCGTTTGGCTCAGTGGTTAGAGCATCAGCCTGCAGTCCAGAGAGACTCGGGTTCGGTTCCTGCTAAGGGCATGTACCTTGGCTGCAGTTTGTCCCCGGCCCTGGTTGGGTCGTGCTGGTGGTGACCACTCGATGTGTCCCTTTCACGTCGATGTTACTCTCTCTCTCTTCCTTTCTCTCCCTCCTGCTCTATCTGAATAAAAAGTGGAAAAATGTCCTCGGGTGAGGATAAAAAACAAAAACAAAAAACACCTGCCTCGGTTGCGGTTCAGTCCCCGGCCTGGTCAGGGTTGTGTGGGGGGCAACCAGTCAGTGTGTCTCTCTCACACCGATGTTTCTCTCTCTCTCTCTCTCTCTCTCCCCCTTTCACTCTGTCTGAAAATAAAATGGAAAAATATCCTCAGATGAGGATTAAAAAAAAATTAAGAAAAAAAAATGAACATCACAGATGCAGTCGAAGACCCCCAGTGCTTCTGCAGTTGGAGCAGTGCTCCTGTGTAATTTTCATTGACCTCAAGACATTCCCGTATCTTTGGTGAGGTCTGCAGTTTCTGCTTTGTGCCTTTGTTCTGCTTTATACCTGCCCTGGGCCATTAGAGAGAGACAGGTGACTAGAGGCTAGACACAGTGGGTGGGAACTCATTTAAGGAGTGGCCACTTCCCGTAAGAGTATATTCTGTGAGTAATCATTTTTCTTTATTTGCAGTCTAGTCACCATGAGGAGCTTGGATGACTCCTCATTAGTAGTGGGTTAAGTTTCTCTTTCAATTTTCTTTTGCCTCTTGTACTCTTCTGTTTTCCAGCATGAGCAACTTCTGTCCAGACTGCGGCAAAAGTATCAAAACAGCATTCAAATTCTGCCCCTACTGCGGAAAGTCTTTGTCAGCAGTGGAGCCTGAAGGGTCCCAGACCTTTGTCAGTCCGCTTTCGTCATCCTTCCAAGGTAAGGACTAGGGCTTTGAGCTTTTCCCTGGAGGAGGGCTGAGGTGCCGGTGTGCGGGTGTGTGGGGAGGGAGCACAGATGCCTTTGCAGTGTGTCTGACCTTGCCTTCCTGCTGGAGAAGCCCAGAGCTCAGGCTCTCTCTGTACTCAGTTTCTTGGTATTTTCTTGATCTCATAGCTTTTTGTTGTTGTTGTTGTCATTGTTGTTTTATTAGTCCTCACCTGAGGATATTTTTCCATTGATTTTTAGAGAGAATGGAAGTGAGGGGGGGGGACATCAACATGCCCTGGCCAGTTTGGCTCAGCGGTTAGAGCGTTAGCCTGTGGTCTGGAGAGAGCCGGGTTTGGTTCCTCGGTTGCAGTTTGTCCCCGGCCCTGGATGGGTCATGTGGGTGGCGACCACTCGATGTGTCCCTTTCACATCGATGTTTCTCTCTCTCTCTCTCCCCCTCCCACTCTATCTAAACAAAAAATGGAAAAATGTGAGGATTAGGATTAAAAAAAAAAAAAAGAAACATCGACGTGAGAGAGACACATTGGTTGCCTCCTGCACACACCTCAACCAGGGCAGGGGATCGAACCTGCAACCCAGGTACATAACCTTGACTGGTGATTGAACCTGTGGACCTTCAGTGCATGGGCCAATGCTCTAACCATTGAGCAACGCCAGCCTGGGCCTCATAGCTTTAAAGTTGACAACTCACACATCTCTGTTTCCAGTCTGGACTCCTACCCTGAAATCCAGATTCATATGTATCAAACTGCTTGCTTGACATCTATTGGATGTCCCATACACGTCTCCACACACCCAGAACCGAGCTACTGATGTGACTGCCCCCCCCCATAGCCTTCTCTATCATGGTAAATGGCAACCCTGTTTATCCATTTTCTTTTCTTTTTTTCTTTCTTTCTTTTTTTTTTTTTTTTTTTGGCGTGCCCTTAGTGGGAACCGAATCCGGGACTCTCTGGTCCACAGACCGACACTCCAACCACTGAGCCAAACCGACCAGGGCTGTTTATCCACTTTCTCAGAGCAGACCATGGAGTCATCCTAAGTCATCTTTCTTTCCCACCCACAATTTCAACCCTCTGGCAAATCCTGTCTGTTTAAAATCAGTGCTGAGCCCGGCCGGTGTGGCTCAGTGGTTGAGCATCGACCCATGCACCAAGATGTCGCCAGTTCAGTTCCCAGTCAGGGCACATGCCCAGATTGTGGGCCAAATCCCCAGTGGGGGGCATGAGGAGGCAGCCATTCGATGGTCTTTCTCATCAGTGTTTCTATCTTTCCCTTCCTCTCCCTTCCTCTCTCTTTCAAATCAATAAAGAAAAAAAATTCTTTTTAATCAGACCACTTCCTGTCACTGCCATGGTCCATCCCACCCTCACTTATCACTGATATTGTTGCAGATACCTTCTTCCCCTTGTCTCCCTGTTTATTCTCTGTCCCCTGTGGTTTTCCACATGGCAGCCTGACAGATCCTGTTAAAACAGAGCCAGACCGTGTCGTTCCTCTCCTCAACACCTTCCCAGGTCAGGCCTGACATGATCAGGTCCCCATTTTCTCTCAGAGCTCCTCTCCAAACCCTCTTGTCATTGCTTATGCAGCTCCAGCCACCTGGGCCTCTGGGCCATTGCGTTTGCTGTTCCCTCTGTCTAGGTGGTTCTTCCCACTCTCTCACTTCCTTCAGTTCTTTATTTAGTTGTTACCTTTTCAGAAAGGCCTTCCCTGACATCTCTAATTAAAAGCACAGCTTCCTGCCCCGGCCATTGTGACCTAGTGGTTAAAGCATCAGCCCTCACACCAAAGGGTTGTGGGTTCCATTCCTGGTCAAGGGCATGTACCTGGGTTGCAGGTTCGATCCCCAGCCCCAGTCAGGGCACATGCAGGAGGCAACCAATTGATGTGGCTCTCTCACTTCTATGTCGCTCGCTCTCTCTACCTCTCCCCTCCCCCCACTCTCTCTAAAAATCAATAACAAAAAAGTATTTAAAGACTGACCTTAGTGAATTCCTGAGAGCACATGAGCTCTCAACCACTCAGCAAAGACACTGGGAAACAAGCTGCTGTCAAGAAAAACAAACAGAACTGCAGAATCAGACCTGCACTGACCAGATACCTTGGAATGAACAGATGAGACTATGTGCAGAACACCTTTAATATGTTTAAATAAATAAAATAAAAAACATAATGAAGGAACAAAAGTTAGTTAGAATTGACCTAGCAGACTTGAAAAAGAACCAAATAACACCTAGGATGATAAAAAACAAATATCATGGCAACCAGAAACTCATTGGATTGTTTAAACTGCAGACTAGCCCTGGCCGGTTTGGCTCAGCGGTTAGAGCGTCGGCCTGCGGTCCTGAGAGACCCGGGTTCAGTTCCCGCTAAGGGCACGTACCTCGGTTGCAGTTTGTCCCCGGCCCTGGTCGGTCGTGCGGGTGGCAGCCACTCGATGTGTCCCTTTCACATCGATGTTTCTCTCTCTCTCTCTGTTCCTCTCCCTCCCTCCCGCTCTACCTGAACAAAAAAACAAAAAAATGTCCTCAGGTGAGGATTAAAAAAAATAAAAATAAAATAAACTGCAGACTAGACATAGCTGAAGAGAGAATAATGAACTAGAAGATAGATCTAAAGAAATTATCTTGAAGATAGAACAGAGTGACAAAGTGACAGAAGATATACAAGAGAAGCTAAGACCACTGAAGAAGAAGCAAGACTTGGCTGTGAAGGTTGAAAGGGAGAGAGTGGTTGAATATGAACTTAGGGTTTTTAGTTTTATGGTTCCTGGAAACGGCCTTTGTAACTCCAGTCTTCACTTGTTCTTCCTTTCTCTAGGCCCACGGAGAAAGAACGTCAGTTCTGAACTTTCTCCCAAGAAAGTGAAATGGTCTGGCTCTGTCACTTCTCCTTCATCATCTCTCTTGTCAAACTATGACAGTTCTGGATCTGAAGATACCCTGAGTCCCAAAGGTATTAATACCTTGAAACCCAAAGTTCAGAGTTAGGAGCAATCTGGCCTGACTCTAGATGGTTAAGAGGCGGGTCATCTGACAATGTCTGGGTGCTCAGGCATCACTTACACCTGTCTGGACCTAACCCTAACCCTTATCCCAGCCTCCAGGCTCCCCCTCCAATCCACCGCTACATGGCCTGAGCTGACCCCACCCCTTCCTGCTCACAGTCATCTACTGTTTCCATCGCTCTGCAGTCTAAACTCTTCAACCTGGCCCCTGAGGCTCTGTGTGGTCTGGTTCCTGTTTTAGCTCTCACCCGCTGTGCACAGAAAACTTAAACTTACTTTCTGGGAATACTTTTTAGAGCCTTCAGCCTCTGGTCTTTGCTAAGTCTGTTCCCTCAGCCCAGGGTACTCTCACCTCCCTTCTTTGCCTGGCACGCGGTCACTTCTCCAGCACTCAGATCTGATCAAGGCCATCTCGTCGCCCTCCAGAGCCTCTCCTTGTCCTTTGTCTGGGCACCCACAGTGCCAGTGCCACTCATTTGAGCCCTCCGGGCTCCTTGTCCCTTTCTGCTTCCCTTGCTGGACTGAGAGTCCTTCGTGGGCAGGGACCGAGTAGAATCATCTGTGTGGCCCATGCCAGCCAGGGAAAGGACCATGTGCCAGTCTCCTTCCTACCAGGCCCTCAGCCCTGAAGACACAGCCCTCAGTGTCACCCTTTGTCCCTTGTCCTAAGGGCCCCATTGCCTCTTGCCATTCCGCGCCTTGGGTGGATGGTAAATGGGAGGAATGGCGATGTTACTATTTTTTCCTGTGTCCATGTTCAGTAGTTAATATCTTTTCCTCCTCTCCATGTCACACCATTCCCTTGCCTAGGAGCAAGTCATGGGCAGGTCCTCAGTCTAACAAATTTCTTTATACTTAGCACAAGGCCAGGTCCTGTCTCAGGATGTTTTTTGTTGATGTCTGGAATGTCTTTTTTGCCCTGGGAAATTCTATTTATTCAATAACACCGAACTCAAATGTCCCCTCCTCTTGGAAGCCTTCCCTGACTTCTCTAGGCACAGTCAGCCTCTTTCTCATGTCTCTCTGTATTGCCTTGTCTGACCGCTGTGTCCAGGTTAGACTCCGCCACCTAATTAGGGGCTCCTGAGGGAAGGTCCTAGGTTTGACTCATGTCTGGGTCCCCAGTTTTGGCATACAAAGACCTGACCCATGAAAAGGTTCCAGGAAGCAGTTTTCCACTGAACAAATGAATAAATGAACAGTATCACGAGTATTGTCTCATTATTCATTCAGCTTTTCTCCCCTGGATGTCCCTTTCCTTTATTCTGGCCATCCCGCTGTAGGGTCCCAGAGCACACCTCCAACCCCCAAAAGCAGCCCGCAGGCGATGAGGAAAAGCCCACAGACGAGGAAAAGCCCGCAGACGAGGAAAAGCCCTCAAACACTGAAGAGGAGCCGTGTGACCACCTCGCTCGAGGCTTTGCCTGTGGGGACAGTGCTGATAGACAAGAGTAGTCAACATTGGAAGCTGGGATCCCTCCAGAGCAGGAGCGACCAGGGCATTCTCTATGAAGGTACACTCTGTTTACAGTTGGGCAGGTGCTGGGCTGGTCCAGGCCGCCTTGGAGCCAGGGCAGGGAGAGGGAAATCCCTTTCTGATAATGAAAACAAAAGTCATATCCCAGCTGCACACCTGCCTCTAGGCAAACTTCTCTTGGACTTGGGACTGCAAACTACCCACCTATAGGGCCAGGCAGGTAGAGTTAATGAGTGTAGGAGGCTGGGGAATAAGGCGATTGAGAGTGGTGGTGACTGTAGCTAACTAGAGAGCACTCTTCAGCTCCGCCTACTCTTGTCCTGTGGGCTTGCAGGCCTAGTGTGACTGAATGATAAGGAGGATGATTAATCTCTACCTTGCAGAGATAGGATGGCCACAGCAATTCTGCCAAAATTTTATTCTTGTTCATTAAGACTGATGATGTCACACACCAGGATATGAAAGGTTTATTGAGGCATCTGACCTGGGTGTTTTTGTTTGTTTGTTTGTTTGTTTAAATCCTCATCTGAGGGTATTTTTCCATTGATTTGCAGATAGAGTTGGAGGGAGGGAGGAAAAGGGTGGGAGAGAGGAACATTGTGAGAGAGAGAGACCAATTGGATGTCTCCTACACAACCTTGACCAGGGCCAGGGACCACACCTGCAACCAAGGTACCTGCCTTTGACCAGGAAATGAGCCAGGGCTGGCCTGGGTTTTTATTGTGGTTAAGTGTTGGAGCCGGGTTGAGGGGCCTCACACAGAGCCGGGGCCTCACATGGTTTGACTCTCCTGCCAGCACCCCTTTGGGGTTCCAAAGGAGGGAATGGAACCCCAGGCTTTCTTATCAGCTCATGCAGATGTGGGGCAGGAGAAGAGGCAGGGCCAGACTTAAAGCTGTCAGTAGTCAAACATCAAACATCAAATATAGACATCTTGTTACAATGAAAAAAATAACTATGCTCCCAGTGTGCCCTGTGTGGTGCTGGCTCTGGGGCTGTGAGTGGGTTCACTGAGTGGCACACGGGAAAGATGAAGCTAGCTATGGTCTGTGCCCAGCTGGTACTATTAACATTTCTACTGACCCCTCTGAATCCTTGTGTCCGGTCTCTCAGGCTCCTGTTTTACAGATGTGGCAAGGAAGGCCCAGAGAGGTTTAGCACCTCTGTAACAGAGTCACACAGAGTTGATGTTGGGGCAGGGCTTGAACCCAGGTTGGCCTGGCAGGAAGCCTACCTTGTGGCTTTGCCTCTCTGTCATCTTATCCACCAGGTGGTGCTAATGATATCAACAACAATAATAACGTATTAGTAGACCTGCTACCCTACTGTCCTGAGCATTAAAGGAAAGGGTGTGTGGAAAGCATACATCTAGCACAGGGTGGAGACGATGCGGGATTTGTAATGGAGCGGGATGGGGCAAGCATGCGAGGTGTTTATGAGGAAGTGCCCCAGGCATCAGTACCTGGGAGGGCAGAGGAAGGAGGGGCCATGTTGCAGAGGCCTTGGTGCAGACTGAGCTGCGCCATGAGGGCTCTGGAGCAGAAGTGGCCCTTCAGCATGGTTCCATGTTGGGTCGTCAAGGCTGGGCCTTTATATCCCCCTTGATCAGCCATTGGACATTGAATACGGGCCTCCCTGGACCTGCAGCTGAGGGATCCCTGAGGGTCTGAAGGCTGCCTGTGACCAGCGGGGTGGGGCTGGATTAAGGCAACAAGTCCTTCTTGGAGGAGCGATCTGCATTCGTCACATGGCATTTGCCCATATATGGAGACAGATGCAGATAGGGTGTGTCAGCATCCCCAGGACCACCCCCAAGTCAGTGTGCACCAAGAAGACCCACAGGCCTCTCATGCCATGATCCATCACAGTGAGAGGACACAGCAGAGTCAGCAAAGGGGAGGTGCATGGAGCAAAGTGTGGGGGAGACCAACCAGCGCAGCTTCCAGGGCCCTGTCTCTGTGCATTCACACAGGATGCACAACAAGGTGTGACAGCCTTTGTGGAATGTAGTGACCAGGGACGCTCGTTAGGGACTAGGCACCTAGGGGTTTTTTTTTATCCTCACCTGAGGACATTTTTGCACTTATCTTCAGATAGAATGGGAGGGAGAGAGATGGGAAGAGAAAGAGAGAAACATCGATGTGAAAGAGACACATCAAGTGATCGCTACCCACCCTGCCCCAACTGAGGCCGGGGACAAACTGCAACCGAGGTACGTGCCCTTAGCAGGAACTGAACCCAGGACTCTCTGGTCCGCAGGCCAAAGCTCTAACCGCTGAGCCAAACCAGCCAGGGCCACCTAGGGTTTTTATTGGAGACTGGTCATGTATGCACCCTCTGCCTGGAACATGCCAACATTCCAGACTTCTAGAAGGAAAGCAGGTGTTTAGCAGAACAGTTTGGGCACAGGGAGCCCCTCTTACTGGATAGAGAATGCTGGAACCCTCCGAAATCCAGGTTCCCAGGCACAGCCAAGGGCAGCCTTGAGTTCCAAGGAGAGCAGTCTCGGGCCTGCTGTGCTAATAACCTTCTGCGTAGCTGGATATTAGCAGAGAGAGAGAGAGAGAGGAAGAAAAAAGGAACCTGTTTGAAAATACGGATGAGCAGGTCTTGAAAACCAGAAATGCGCTGGACCCTGTGGGAACCAGGGAACCGAAACTGCTGCTCATTACTGGGGAGTTTGGGAATGAGGACACTCACTTGCCCTATAGATTGTAACCTTGCTCATTTTGTCCACCCACAGCTGAGCCTGTCTCCACCTGTGAGTCAAGTGCCCAGAAGCAAAGATTCTCGCTTAAACTAGTGAGTGGGCCTGGGGGGTACCTGGGGTGGGGAGAAGGAAGTGGTGAGGGGAGGGCCTGGCGCTTTGGCAAATCACCATCGCTCTCCAAGCCTCTCTGTGGGCTGGTGTAGGCAGCAGAGCAAGGAGCAGTGGGACCTCTGGCAGGGCACACCTCCCTCGGGGGCCTCGGATTCTTCATCTCCCAGGGCCCCTCAGAAGCTGCAGTCAGGTCCACCCCCGAGCCCCACCTCTGATACTCCCTGGCTGTGCCATCTGGGCAAATGCCTCCTCTCTCTCAGCTGACTCTCCTCATCTGTGAGCTGGAGCCAGTGAGCCCCACGCAGGTTGTCCATTTGCCCACTACCTGCCTGCCTCACAGCATGTACGTATTGAGCACCTACTGTAATATATAATTGTGCTGGGTGTTAGGGTTCCAGTGGAGAACCAATCAGATGGAGTCCCTGTGCTGAGAAGTCAGTGAAATCTCGCCTGACCTCAGAATACAGGAAACATGCACCAGAGGGGGCCAAAAGGAAAGAAACACAAAGAGAACACCGAGGCAGGCCAGTCACTGAGGAGGTGCCTAATAAAAGAGCTTGGTCATGGTTGGTAACCTCGCTGTCATCCCTGAGTGCTGGAGTTAGGGGTGACTTTTATGCTTTTTTTTTACACACCCACTTCCACCCTTGGAAAACCAGGACAGCTGAACTGGGTCCTTCTCTTGGCCCTAGACGGAGGCCATGTGAGTGGTTTAGAGCAAGGGCCCCAGAGCCAGGCTCAGATGAGAAATTGCACCTGCTTGTTGAGAGCCTGTTCCTTGCCCGACTCCAGGCTGAAAGTGTCACAAGCAAGCCTGTAGGGTAGTAACCATGTTCTCCAGGGACATCCAGCACTCAAGTTTCTTTGTTCACAGCTGTATCTCCAATGCCCAGAATAATACTCAGCACATAGTAGGTGCTTGGTAGGAAAGAATGAATGAATGACAGAGCTGGGTTTGAACCTACTTCTCTTTAGCCCTATGCTCTTAAGAACTGTAGTTACTAGTTGTATTTAATGAAAATATTTGGTTTTACTGCGAGGAAAAAAAATGACCCAGCATTAACAGTGATCTTAGCAAAAATAATATTTTATTGCTCTTTTTCATAAAAGTCTGGGACAGCGGTTCAGGGCTGATATGATGGTTCCATAACCAAGGGGTCCAATTTCCTTCTCTCTTGTTGCTCCAACGTCCTCAACTGATAACCTTCACCTCATGGGCTGAAATGGCTGCCCCAGTTCTCACCATCACACATGCATTCCAGCCAACAGGAACAGAAGAGGAAGGGGAGAGCCTGCCCCAGCCCATTAAGGGCATAATGTGGAAGTTGCCCACATTTCCTCTGCACACATCTCCTTTGGCCAGAACCTGTCATGTGTTCATTCCTCACTTCAGGGGAGGCTTGGAAATCTAATTTTTAGCCAAAGGTCACATGTCTAGGGAAAATGTATAGATCCTTTCAGAAAAGAAAGGAAAGGAACTTGGACAATGGGAGATAACTTAAAGTCTCTGATATGTGTTCACATTTAGCACCCTGAGGAATTTGGTTCTGATCTGCAGGACTTGATGGGGAACTTGGGTTGTTGCTGGCATTACTGTGGCCAGTGGTGATCTGGGATCCCTTGTCTAAGAGATTCCAGTGTGACAGCCTTCTCCCCCTCCATCCCACGCTAGGATGCCAAGGATGGGCGCTTGTTCAATGAGCAGAACTTCTTCCAGCGGGCTGCCAAGTCTGTGCAAGGTATTCTACAGGGAAGTGGGCAGTGGGGAGAGATTTGGAGGTACCAGCTTGGTCAAAACAACTAGCTTCTCCCTGAAGGTATGGGAAGGGTGGAGATTAAAGGGAAGGCCCAGATTTGCTCCTGTCACCGCTCAATCCTCAGGCCTCACAGGGTAGACAACATGGGCTGAGACCAGCTCATTCTAGCTCTTGAGAGCCGAGTATTAAATTTCCAAAATTAGCTCAAGCCAGTTGTTAAACAACCATTATTTAAATTAATTATATCCACTAGCAATAAAATAGATTAAGAAGAAGGGTCATAAATACTCAAAACTCATCACTTCCTAATTATTTGTCTACATTTAGATCTCTTGTACCTGGCTGGTGAAAACAATACATAATGGTGTGCCGCTGCGCATCTCTTTCCATCTCCACATTCTGTGATATCAAATTGGTAGCTTGAAATGGACTGTGGTGGGAGCATTTACACCACAGAAATTGGCAAACACTACAAACCAGGGCTCTTCCCCCTAGACAGCCAGTTGTTAAACTTACCAGCACACCTCTGGATCTGTACCACCCAGTGGAGATCCTGGGAGATGGGCTGACATCTCGTGATACCCTGATCAGTTTAGACATTTCCTGATCTTAGCCGTATGTGTGAATTCAGAAGTTCTGCCGTTCTTTCCCTTCCACTCGCTCCAGATTTGTGTATTCTTTCTCCGAAGTTTACCCTTCGTCACCTGCAAACGTAGATGATAGACATTCAGATGTCAGCCAGGCCCATCCTGTCAGTGCCCCCATTGTCACCCACCCACAGAGATGGCGTCTCTGACCAGGAGACTCGGTCTGGCCTGGACGCACTCTGTTTCTGGTCTGGGAATGGACTGTTGTCCTCATGGGCCTGGGACCAGGTGGGCTCTAACCTCTCAGGTCCCTACCTCCCCTAGTGAACAAGTGGAAAAAGCGGTTCTCGACCCCCCTATTGGCCATCCCCACCTGTGTCGGTTTTGGCATTCACCAGGACAGGTACAGGTGAGTTGCCTAACTTGCCACACCTTGCTGGCCCCTTTCTTTCTCTTTCTGTCACGTGCTTGGGCATGATTGGGACCCTGTAGCCTTTGGCCAGTTAGTCGCGTCCTTCCTTTCTCTTGCTTTGAGCCAGTCTGATCCCCCACCAGTTAGAACCATTAATCTTGCCTGGGACCAGGGCCTCATAGCCACCTAATCACGGTCCATCCTTGGTGTCCTGTGTTCTGCTCCCTTCCCTGGTCATCTCTCCCACCTCTGGGGATATTCGTGTCTTCCAGGTTTTTAGTGTTCCCCATGCTGGGAAGGAGCCTTCAGTTAGCCCTGGATGACAACCCAAAACATGTCATGTCCATGCGATCCGTGTTCCAGATGGCCTGCCGGCTGGTATGTACCTAAGCGTTGCTGGCTCCCATCCAAGGGGTGGCCACCGGGTTCCAGTTTATCAGTCTGGTCATTGGCATGTGCAGCCTGTGCCTCCCGCTGCTGGACATGAGGACTGACACAGGTGAACATGCGGCCATTAGAACCAGAAGGATAAGCATTACCATTGGGGGGCCGTGGGAGCTGAGGAAGGGGCCCCAGCCTCAAATCAAGGGGTTTGATTGGGCTTCCAGATAGAGGTTCTTGCTAAGCCGAGAGTGGGAAATAGCGAGGTGCTGGGTAGAGTGGGAGTGGAAATACGTGAGAAGAATGTTCCAGGCCAAGGACACAGCTTGGGCAGAGGCTTATATGGGAGAGAGGGCATGAGGCATTGGTTCATTCATTCATTCCTTCATCCATCATTTTTTGTTGTTGTTAATCCTCACCTGAGGATATTTCTTTCTTTTTTTTTAATCCTCACCCGAGGACATTTTTCGATATTTTTGTTCAAATAGAATGGGAGGGAGGGAGAGAGAGAGAGAAACATCAACGTGAAAGGGACATATCGAGTGGTTGCCACCTGCACGACCCAACCAGGGCCAGCGGGAACCAAACCTGGGTCTCTCTGGACCGCAGGCTGATACTCTAACCACTGAGCCAAACTGGCCAGGGCCCGAGGATATTTTTTCCGTTGACTTGTTTTAGAGAAAATGGAAGGGAGGAAGGGAGGAAAGGAGGAGGGGAGAGAGAGAAAGAGAAACATTGATGTGAAAGAGACACATTGATTGGTTGCCTCCCTCATGGGCCCTGATCAGGGCCAGGGATCAAACCTGCAACCCAAGTATGTGCCCTTGACTGGGAATCGAACCTGCGACCCTTCAGTACATGAGCCAACACTCTAACCACTGGCCAACACCGGCCAGGGCCCTTCATCCATCTTTTCATTAAATATTTATCAGGGCCCTGCTGGGTATCAGACCTTGGTAATCAGACCCTGTCCTGGGGCTATGAGTACAGTAGAGAATAGCACAGACATGGCTTTTGGGTCTAGTTGGAGAGGATTGTATTAAACAGTTTGACAGATTGTGAAAAGTTCCCTGGATAGACATGTCCCCCTGCTATGATGGCGAATAAGAGGACCCAGTTTAAATTGGGGGAGGGATGAACATGGCAAGGGAATGACATATTAGGTGAGTCCCAAAGGTCTTTATGCACAGTGTCTGCAGTATGACATGGGGGGGAGAATGGGTAAAAGATTGGAGTGGAGAGGTCAGCAGTGACCAGATCACACAGCTGAGGAGCTGGGACTCTGTCCTGAGGGCACTGGGGAGCCATGGGAGGATTGGGAGCAAGGGAGGGGCACTGTCAGCTCTGGTTGCCGAAGGACCCTGTGGGTCTTGCGGGGAGGGACGGAAGGGGGTGAGGGACGGATGGAGGCCAGATGAAGTCGCCATGAGAGAGGACAAGGCCTGAGGAGGGGGGCCAGGCTGTGAGGCTGGAGAGTCTGTAGGACAAGCAGAACTTGGTGGACAGTTAAACTTTGGGGTCAAGGGGGGGTTGGGAATGTCATTACAATGTAACTAACACCTAGGCAGTTGGATATGAGCCTGGACCTCAGTGGAGAAGTGAGAGTGAGAGCTAAAAATATAAATTGTTTAACTACATTTATTTCTGCTCCCTAGGCAAAATAAGAACTCTTTGATATACAGGGACATTGGGTTTTTGTGTTTGTTTTTTTGTTTTGTTTTGTTTTTTTGCAGGAGGCAATAAGTAACCATTTTCTTCCCCTCCTGAGTTTGCAGTCAGCTGAGAAATTGATACGAGAGACAGAAAACCAAATGTTAGTTTTAATGCTGAATTTTCTTTAAAGCCTAATTAGAAGACCTGCTTAGGTGTGCTGTCAGAGTGCACTTCCTAATGCTTCCCCAGAATTAGTCAGGCTTAAACCTCCCCACCCCTCGCAAGCAGGCCGTACAGCTGCAGGTCTGACCGTGAGGATTCAGTCACCAGGCTTTGCATCACAGCCACTTTGTGTTAGTTGTTCCATTGATGGAGATGCTTTCTTCTTCCCCAGCTGGATGCCCTGGAGTTCCTCCACGAGAATGAGTATGTTCACGGAAATGTTACAGCTGAGAATATCTTTGTGAATCCAGAGGACCTGAGTCAGGTAATAGCAAGGCCCTCCCCACCTTGGGGCCTCTCTGAGATCAGAATCTGATCTCTCAAAACTTCCATGTGTTTTATAATGCTTATTGCAGACAAAGAATTGCTATCCATCATATATAAAGAGCTCATTGAATAAATAAGAGATGAGCAACTTAGTAGAAAAATGCATAATGGATAGGAAAAGCAGTTCATAGAAAAAGAAATCCATAATTTAGTTAAATATATGAAAAGATGTTCAACCTCCCTAATAATCATAGAAATGGAAATTAGAACATACTATTTTTTTTACCCTTTCGATGGACAAAATTAAAAAGAATGATAGTATCGCCCAGCTGCTGTGGCTCAGTGGATTGAGCATCATCCCATGACTGAGAGGTCTGGGTTAGATTCTCGGTCAGGGCACATGCCCAGGTTTCAGGCTTGATCCCCAGTACGGTGTGTAAAGGAGGCAGCTGATCAGTGTTTCTCTCTCTTCCTCTTCCTTCCTCTCTCTAAAATATCAATTAAAACATATTTTTAAAAAGAATTATATCCCGGCTGGTGTGGCTCAGTGGTTGAGCGTCGGCCCATGCACCAAGAGGTCACTGGTTTGATTCCCAGTCAGGGCACATGCCCAGGTTGTGGGCCCAATCTCCAGTGGGGGGCATGCACGAGGCAGCCATTCGATGTTCTCTCTCATTGATGTTTCTATCTCTCTCTCCCTCAAATCAATAAAGGAAAAAAAAATTTTTTTTAAGAATGATAATATCTATAGTGATAAAAGCATATAAAGAAATACAAATTCTTTATATTCTTTTGGAAGTGTGAATTAAGAACATTTTTTTGAAAGTAATTTGAATATAGCAGTCAAAATTTAAAAAGCATGCTTTTTGACTCATCAGTTCCTCTTTTAGGAATATGTCCTATCCATATATTCATAAGAATATTCCAAGGTATATGGAGAAATACGCAGTGTTCCTGACAACATTGATTATGATAGAAAAATATATACTCCCAGTAGGGTACGGATTAAATAGTGTTCTAAAATTAATTTTAATTCTCTTTTCAAATGACAGAAACTTAATTTTAATGGCTTACACAAAAAAGAAAAAAGAATTTAAGGGAGGGGTGCAATATATTGGTCCAGGGGGTGGAAAAATCGAGGACTTGACTGAATCTAGGACCTCAAGCCCTGTCATTAGGAAACTGCCCCCCCCCCCCCCGGCTCTTCTTGTTTGTGTATTGGTCATTGTGAGGCAGACTGCCTTCCCTCATGGTGACAGAATTCACCACCAGCAAATCAGGCTGAAATCCCCTCAGCTGAGCAACCCAGTGGAAATAGATCAAGTGAGCCTCACTTCAGTGACATGGACTAAGAGTTGGAGAGAGGTGATCCCAGAGAAAAATCCTAGAACTGTATTAGAGCTCTCCAGAGAAACAGAACCAACAGAATGTACAGAAAGAGATTCATTGTAAGGAATTGGTTCACACAATCAGGTACCACAGCGACTTTCAAGCGGTGTGCTGCACGAATTTTTAAAACATGCAATACCTGACTATTTAGTCAGGGGCATCAAGCTCTTTTCCCTTAGACTGCCACATAGAAAAATAACAACAGCCAACACAACAGTAGCCATCCAGTGTGAATGAATGAGAATTATACCTATTTTTTTGGTCACGTTGGCAAAAAATATATTTTTTGGCATGGCTGCAGAATGTTAGTAATTAGTTTATGTGTGCCAGGGATGGAAAAGGTTGAAAATCGCTGATGTACAGAACTGTACAGAAAGAGAATTATTGTAAGGATTGGCTCACACAGTTATGAAGACAGAATCTTAAGATCTGCATTTGGCAAGCTGAAGACCAGGAAGAACTGATGGTGTAGTTCTACTCAGGGTCCAAAGACCTGAAAACCAGGAGAGCCGACTGTGTAAGTTCCTGTCTGAAGAGCTGGCAGGCTCAAGACCCAAGAGAGTCAATGCTTCAGTTCAAGTCCAAGGCTGGAAAGACCAATGTTCCAGCTCTTACAGTCAGGCAGGTGTTCCCTCCCACTCAGCCCTTTTGTTCTAGTCAGGCCTTCAACTGATTAGATGAGTTCCACCCACGTTAGGTAGAGCAATCTGCTTTACGTAGTCTATGTGTTTTTTTATTATTATTATTAGTTTTTAGAGAGAGAGAAACATCAATGAGAGAGAACATTGATTGGCCGCCTCCAGCATGTCCCCCACTGGGGATCGGGCCCACAACCTGGGCCTGTGCCCTGACCAGGAATCGAACCGGTGATCCCTTGGTGCATGGGTTGACGCTCAACCACTGAGCCACAAGGGCTGGGCACTTAGACTGTGATTTTAAATGTTAATCTTGTCCAGAAACATCCTCACAGACACACCCAGATTAATGTTTGGCCAAATCTCTGAGCACCCTGTGGTCCAGTGAGGTGGACACTTAAAATTAAATATCACGAACTATGACCAGAAGAAAAGGATGTAGATCTCTTGTGGACAAAACCAATAGTTGCCCACTGTCCAAATGGCAGAATACAGTGAGCCATTAAAACGCAGATGGAGCTAACTGTGTAACTGGCTGATAAGCACTTTACTTGCTGTTTTCAGCCCAGTTAAGCCTTATAACAACCCTTCAAGGTGGAGACCATCATTGTCTTCATTTTACAAATGGAGAAACTAAAGCACAAAAATGTTATATGACTTGTCCAAGGCTGTACAGCCACCGAAGGTCAAGCTGGCATTTGAACCTGATCCATCCGGCTCCAGAGTTAATGCCCTAACCCACTGTTAAGTTCAGAAGGCTGGCTGCCCAGCAGGAGGTAGAGTGGGACACCTCCGTGGAAAACTCAAGCCCCCACCCTGTCCACATGTGTTTACCAATTATTTCAAGAAAACGACTTGCAACTATTATTAGTGGTTACTTCTGGGCAGTAGGTTTTGGGGACTGGGTTGCAATAGGGATGGTTGGTTTCGGTTCTTTTCACTTCACACTTTTGTACTGCTGGGCATTTGGTTATTTCAGACTACACTCACAACTGAAATGTCTGATTTCAAAGTCCAGCCTCCTAACCGCCAAACTGTATGACTTCTCCCCACACCCACACAGGTGACCTTGGCAGGCTATGGCTTTGCCTTCCGCTATTCCCCAGGTGGCAAACACGTGGCCTACACGGAAGGCAGCAGGAGCCCACATGACGGGGACCTGGAGTTCATTAGCATGGACCTGCACAAAGGATGCGGTAAGAGGCCTGAGAGTGGGTTCAGGACCGTGGAGACATGATACAAGGGCAGCTCTAGGTTTTCTTAACTTTTTAAGACTCTAGACAGAGACTCAGATGTTGACAAGATCTCAGGAGGTGTCAGCTGAAGCCGTGGGAGAGGAATGAGGTTATCTAAGGAACGTGTACAGAGTGAGCAGAGAGCCCAGGGCAGGTTCCTTGAGGAGGTCTCAGCCCCTTTCCCAGATCCCCTGATGTCATGGCCATCCACGTGCCCACCTGTGTCCTCCCACCAGACTGAGCTCTGAGCTCACCCAGGGAAGGGATGATGCCTGTGCCTTAGCATCAGGTGGCAGAAGGTCTGGCACAGACAACTCTCGGTGTTTGTTGAAGGGTATACGAATCCTAAATCATGACAGCGTAAGAAAAAGAAAACCCAGTGGTCTTTGCTCCCCTACTGAGGCTGTGTTCAGTGTCCACCCCTCTGGGCTCCCTGGTGCCCTGTTCTGTGTCCTCTGTAGCTCAGGTAATTCTACAATATAATCATCTCCCCACTAGACTGAAGAACTGAGACCCAACCAAACTCTTGTCTAGAATTTGGGAAATGGGATGGGGCCTGGCGCAAAGGGCTCTGAGGGCTCATTGAACGCATGAGTGCATGAATGAAGTAGATGAGGGAGTGAGCAAGGGAGCGTGGGGATGCAGAGATGACTGGGAGAGTGGATGAGAGTAACAGACTCATGAGAGTGAGAGAAGGCGAATGAACAGCTCTGGCCAGTGTTGCACAGTGGTTAGAGCATTGGCCCACGATCAAGAACCACGTACCTGGGTTGCAGGTTCAATCCCCAGCCCCGGTTAGAGCACGTGTGGGAGGCAACCAATTGATGTATCTCTCACATGGATGTTTCTCTCTGTCTCTCCCTCCTTTCCACTCTAAAAATCAATGGAAAAAATATCCCCAGGTGAGGATTAACACCAACAGAAAAAGAGTGAATGAACAGACGAGAGCCTGTGTTTGGGTGGTTGAGTGGGAGTGCATGGTTGAGTCAGTGAGAGGGAGAAAGGAAGGAGGTGGACATGGCAGTAAATGGAGCATCTAGACTCAGCCGCCACCTCTTTCTCTCCCTTCCTAGGGCCCTCCCGCCGCAGCGACCTCCAGACCCTGGGCTACTGTTTGCTGAAGTGGCTCTACGGGACCCTGCCGTGGACAAAATGCCTTCCCAACACTGAGGATATCATGAAGCTGAAACAGAGGTGAATCTGGGGTTCAGCAGAGCCCAGCACTGGCCCAGCACCTGTGCAGGCGGGGCAGAAGCTCAGAACCCCACAGGGAGCAGAGAGGAGGGGCAGGCGGTGTGCAGCAGAGCCACGGCCTCCGCAGTTCCCTGGCTGTGCTCTACTGTCCGTTCCAGCAGACAAGAGCTTGAAGGGCTCTGGCTTCATGCTGCCTGCGGTCAGATTCCGGCCCCAGTGTCCTCAGTGAGGTGGGAATCCTGTCAGCACCCACTGCAGGGGCTATGGAAGGGTTCAGAGAGTCAGGTACACAGCACTCAGCAGAGCCTGGCCTGTAGAAAATGTTCACCGTGTACTGGACACCATGATTCATTCAGTCCTTCACGGGCATGTGGGCAACCTGACCAGTTAGGTCTGGGGCCTGACTCAGCATGGGCAACACCAGCCAGCGGCGTTCACACTTCCTCTCCCTCACCTTTGCATGTAAAACCACCAGATCCTGCTAGTTCCGTTTTAGACATTCAGCATCAAGGACAGTGCCCCCTGCTGGCTGCAAAGGTGTAAGGTTCAGCACCAAGGACAAAGACATCTGTTTGCAAAGGAAAGTGCTGCGTGTCTGGTTCAGCACCACGGACAGAGGACAGCTGGGCAGAGAGGGAAGTAAAAGGGGGCTTTGTTCCTCGGCACCAAGGACAGTCAGTGGACAGCTGGACACAGGGAAGCTCTGCAGGTACAAAGGTTGGGACTCAAAATCTGGTAGAGACTTGGGGACTAAGAGTTGCCCGGGAGTCATTCAGGAGGGGTCATCTAGGAGATGTTGGCTATCAATGTCTGAAGTGCAGAAATGAAGTAAATCTAAATGGAGATTCAAACCTCAGTGGTATCTCAGGAGTTGTCAGCAGAAGCCCTGGGATGGGATGAGATTGTCCAGGGACAACGTGCAGAGTGGGAAGAGGGAAACCTTTCCAGTGAACAGCATTGGGTCCACTATGCTTCTGTTCTCAGTGTGCTGTGTCACTGGTTCATCTTAAGCCTCTTTCATTTTATTTTGTCCCTGTTATGTCCCCTGTCTTCCTTCTCTCAACCATGGACACCCATTCAAATGTGTTTAATGCATGTTCTACTGATATGTTTGTTTAAATGTTTTTGTATCCTTAAACGTGCATGATGGTGGTGGTACTATGTGTGTTTGTTTTGCATAAATGTTCATCTCTAAGTCTCATCTGTTTTTGGCTTGTTTCACTCAACACTGTGTTCTTTTTTTTTTTTATCTTCACCCGAGGATATTTTTCCTTTTGTCTTCAGATAGAGTGGGAGGGAGAGAGAGAGAGAAACATCGATGTGAGAGAGACACATTGACCGGTTGCCTCCCACATGACCCTGACCAGTGCCGGGGATGAACTGCAACCAAGTTCGTGCCCTTGACCGGAATCAAACCTGTGACTCGTTGGCCTGTGGGCCGACACTCTATTCACTGAGCCAAACCAGCCAGCGCTTGACAGTGTGTTCTTCAACTTTAACCTCATTGTTACAAGTGCATCAAGTTTACTGCAAGTTTATATAGATACGTTTATGTGCTTGAACAGTGTCTGATGAGTGTATTTAGTTTGCATAAACAGTGCTCTGCTCTCAATTTCATTGTTTCTTGCTTTCTTTCACTCAATGCTGTATTTTTTCTTTGAGCTGCATTGCTAGTTCACTACCTCTGAATACTCTTCCCACATTTACTTGTTTAAATGTATCTGTGTCCTTGAAAGATGTGTCACAGTGTCGTTGGGTGCGTGTTTGGCCTAAATGGTACCCTGCCCTGAATCTCGTCCTCCTTCAGGTTTCAGCCTAATCGTCACGCCCCAGAAAGCCCTTCCCTTACCCTTTCTGCATCAGATCTCCTGCCGGTACACGCTCAGGGGAAGGGATTTGCCCCTGTCATGTCGGCCTGCTCATAAAGGCCAGCTCAAGGCTAACGTTTATCATGCCCTTGTCTGCACCAGGTACTGTGCCCAGTGCTTCCCTGTGTCATCATCAGAACAGTTCTGAAGTAAGCACAGTAATGATCTGAGGCACAGAGCTTAAGTAATCAGCCCAGGTCACACAGCTACTGAGTGGAGGCACTCAGCTTCACATCCAGCTCATTCAACTCCAGAGAAGGCCCTTCTACCTCAAAGCCAGTGTCTCCCAAGTGTGAGTGCTGAGCACTCATGAAATAGCCGTGGAATTAATGCACGTGCCTTTATTCTTTGGCCTGGACTTCTGTGTGACACACAGGTTAGGCAGACATGCCCTAGCCTTGAGGGGGAGGGTTCCCAGGCTGGGAGGAGACACATGGGCTGCTGAAAGCTTTTACCCAAAAGATGCCTAACCCAGTCTATAGCAAGCAGGTTACCTCCCAGGCAGGCAAGGGGGAAGCCAGATCTCCAGGCAGACAGGATTGTACGTATGTGAACTCTTCATGTATTCATCCATTTAGAACCTGTTTTCCAGGGGCGTCAGTTTGCCAGCACCGTGCTGGGGGTGCAAGGATCAGCAAAGGGCACCTCTTGTCAGTGCAGCCACCTGCCGAGGCTCTGCCGAGTGGAACCCTCTCTCTTTTTTTTTAATCCTCGCTCCAGGATATTTTCCTAAATATCTTCAGATAGAGTGGAAGGCAGGGAGAGAAATAGAGAAACATCGATGTGAGAGACACATCGACTGGTTGCCTCCCACATGGCCCTGACCGGGGACCAAGGTATGTGCCCCTGGCTGGAATCGAACCCGCGACGCTTTGGTCCGTGGGCCGACGCTCTAACCGCTGAGCCAAACCAGCCAAGGCTATTATCTTTTTTAATCCTCACCTGAGGATATGTTTTTCATTGATTGAGAGATTGATTTGAGAGAGAGAGAGAAACATTATGTGAAAGAGAAACATTGATCAACTGCCTCCTGCACATGCCCCAACTGGGAGTTGAACCTGCAACCTGGGTATGTACCTTGACCAGGAATTGAACCCACAACTCTTCTGTGTGCAGACCGACACTCTAACCATCTGAGCCACACCAGCCAGGTCCTGGTAATCATTTTAATATTGATGATTTTAGTACTAATAACGTTCATTCCAGAGCCCCAGAGCCCAACCACAACCACAGAGGGAGAGTTGGGCAGTGATAGGTGCTCCATGGGAAGATGTGGGCAGTAATATCGCATTCTGGACCCCGCAGTAACCAAAAGGACCACAAGGGGGCGATGTTGGCACATGCAGGTTTTCTGGAACCCTAACTTCTCTGGGGCATCTTTGGTGTGTGTGGCCTTTTTCCATTCGCTCAACAAATATCTATTCATTTTCTTGTGCATCCTAGTTCATGACAGAATGAATGACTAAGAGAAGAAACTGTGTGTGTGTGTGTGTGTGTGTGTGTGTGTGTGCGCGCGCGCGCGCTTAGAGATATATATATGTATACAAATATTTGTGTGTCGATAGTTAATCTTCGTTATTCACAGATTTCATATTTGTGAGTTTGCCTATTCACTATAATGTATTTGTATCCCAAAAATCAATACTCGCAGTGCTTTGTGGTTGCTCTCAGACACACGCAGAGTGGAGACAGTTTTGAGTCGCCCGATGCCCGTCATTCCAGCTGAGGTTGAACGAGGCGACTCTCTGCCTTCTGCGCTCTGCTCTCACGCTGTGAATCAGTGGTCTATTGAAGGCCACATTTTCCACCTTTTTGTGCTTTCTGTTAGTGGTTTCACTGTTTAAAGTGATCCCAAGCATGACCTAGCTGGCATGGTTTAGTGGTTAGAGCGTTGGTTTGTGTACCCAAGGGTCTCGGGTTCGATTCCCGGTCAAGGGCGTGTATCTGGGTTGTAGGTTAGATTGGGCATGGGAGTCAACCAAGGGATGTGTCCCTCTCACATCCATGTTTCTCTCTCTCTCTCCCTCCCCCTGTCCCTTCCACTCTCTCTAAAAATCAATGGAAAAAATGTCCTCGGGTGAGGATTAACAACAACAAAGTGCAAGGAGGCCATGCTGTGCTTCACAGAGAAAAGACGTATTAGATGAGCTTCCCTCGGGCATGCTGTTGGCCATGAGCTCAGTGTGAATAAAACCACATTCTATTAAATATGGTGTCTTCAAACACAGCCACGGAGGGGAGGGGAGAGGGGGAGGAGAAAATAAATAAACACAACCACATAAAGCAGGCTTACTAGGTAATCAGCTGATGAGAATGTTGTGAGCAGAGGCTCACAGGAACCGAATGCTATGTTCCTCCTAGAAGCAGATTTAGAATTTGCTAATTCAGGGTTCGAGGTGACTCTCTAGGGCATAGTGACCACGAATAATAAGAATCGGCTCTATACTTCTGATAATATTTTTTGAGAGAGAGAAGGGAGAGGGAGAGAGAAACATGGATATGAGAGGGAAACACTGATCCACTGCCTCCTGCACAGCCCCCACGGGGGATCGAACCCAGGCATGTGCCTGGCCGGGAATCAAACCAGTGACCTTTTGGTGCATGGGACGATGCTCAGCCAACTGAGCCACACCAGCCAGGGCTGAGACGTTTTGTCTAAAAGGTTGCTCTCCCTTCCCAAAAAGACCTTCTCATGTACCTCTGTCCTGTCAGGTTCCTTGACAACCCGGAGGCCCTCGTGGGACAGTGCAGTTGCTGGGTGAGGCCCTCAGGTATGTCCTGAAGGGGAGGGACAGGAAGGGGCTGTGGCAGGACCAGGCACTTTGAATCCACGTGGGGTCGCCTCCCATTAACACCCCTTTGTTGCTTTTGAGTTTTTCAAATTGCATGTGTATACGTGCTCACTGTAGAAAAACAAAAATCTTCCCAAAAAATTCAGAAGTGTCTTTGAACAATAATAACCACACACGTGCACACACAAGCATGTACACACAATGGTTTGGTTTTTTTTAATATTTTTTCTTTATTGATTTGAGAGAGAGAGGAAGGGAGAGGGAAAGAGAGATAGAAACATCGATTAACCGCCTCCTGCATGCCCCCCACTGGGGATCGGGCCCACAACCTGGGCATGTGCCCTGACCGGGAATCAAACCAGCGACTTCTTGGTGCTTGGGTCGACACTCAACCACTGAGCCACACCAGCTGGGCCACATAATGTTTTTTTAAATGTGGAATCATATTCTATATATTGGTCTTCAACTTGCTTTATTTCATGTAAGAGTCTACCTTGGAGATTTTTTGTGTCAATGTTTATAGAGTATTATTAGTATCTTTAAAAAATAAGTATGTTTTTATTGATTTTTAGAGCAAGAGAGACATCGTTGTAAGAGAGAAACATCAATTGGTTGCCTCCTTTGCGCTCCCTGACTGGGGATCAAACCCGCAACTTGAGCACGTGCCCTGACCAGGAATCAAATCAGTGACCCTTCAGTGTATGGGACCAGGCTCCAGCCAACCGAGCCACACTGACCAGGGCTACTCCTTTTTTTTGTTTACTGGGTTTTGGTTTAAATACCAGTCTTGCTCTGGAATGTTTACTCTCTGGACTTGACGGTAACAGTTTGATGGTCCCCGTTTTAGAGGCACACTAAATATTTGCAGGGGAAATGACCTAATGAGCTGGGATCTGCTTTGAACGCGTACAGGAGGGGCAGTGGCAGGGTTTGGGCGAAACATGATGAGCTGTGAGTTGACAGTGTTGAGACTGGGTAATGGGTTCACAGGTGTTCTCGATACTGTTCACCTCTTGCAAATGTCTGACTTTTTCCAAAAATTTGGGGAGGAAATCTAAGTGCCTGTGGCAATACCAGGCACAGAGGCAGCACTGAGCCAATGGGCACCATGGATGGGACCCTCTGGGTGTAGTCCCCTGGGCTCCTGGTCAGGGGCCCCTCTCAGACCTCTCCCGTGTCGGGGTGTTGTGACCACAGAGACCCTGCAGGAGTACCTGAAGGTGGTGATGGCCCTCGCATACGACGAGAAGCCTCCCTACGACGTGCTGAGGAAGAGTCTGGGAGCCCAGTTGCAGGATCTGCGGGTGTCGGCCTATGACCCCATAGACCTCCAGATGGTGCCATAGGTAGGTTCCAGTCTTAACCAACCCCCCTGCCACCCCAGCGCAGCTTCCCAGGTGGCATTTGATGTTTAATCCAGGGGCCAACTTCCCAGTTAGATGCTGGATTTTTCCACAGGGCTCTTGAACTTTCCAACCCCCCAGGAATCACAAGTAGCAGAAACCTGACACAAACGGGCTTTTAGAAAGAGGGGGGTTGACAGGCTCATGTAGCTAGAAAATTCCAAAGGGGAAGCTTTAGGCATGACTGGATCCAGAGCCTAGAAAGGAGCCTCGAGAGAGTATCTGTCTCTGTTTTCCTGTCCCCTCCTTCCTCCCTCTGTCCCTCCACCACGCCCCTGAGGTCCCTGCATCCCTTTGGGTTGGCTCCCTTGTGCCCCCACACACACAAAACCTCGCTGGCTCTGTGCCCCTGCTCTCTGCACCTGACAGTTTGTCTCACAGCCCTTCCTGTGGGCTCGGAACGTCCTTGTTTATGGCAGCACCGTATTCCGTCATGTGAACAGAGGATATTCTCCATAACCAGGGGCTGGCCTCTGCTCGGCCTCCTGGGTTTTTGTTGTACAACCAGCGTTGCCATGCACTCTGGTGTGCTCCCGGGTCTGTGACCATTGGATCGCGCTCCGTCGGGGCTGGACCTGTTTACACCCCTTTTTGTACAGTGTGAGAGTGTATGGGAGTTTGGGGGAGGTCAGAATGCAACTAAGTTCGCTTGACAGGGCCACATGGACGTCCTGAAGAGGAGCTTCCCCAAGGTCCTCCTCTGCCCATGGAGCTGTGATCTCTCTCCTCAGGGCCAGTTGGAATCAGAGCTCAGTGTGTGTCTAACTCAGGGTTCGCGAACAGAGGCGAGAACAAGCGGGGCATTGTCCCTCTCTGCAGACATTCTTGGTTGTCGGCACTGGGAAGAGGGCTCTGCCGGCACCTAGTGGGTGGAGGCTGGGGATGTGCTTAACACCCCACAGCGCACAGGCTGGCCCACCAGACAGTCACCTGCACTAATGCCAGGTGTGCCAGGCTCGGGAAGCCAGGTCCACGGGCGTCCTCGTGGGTGGCCGCCTGTCTCCTTCAGCCGCAGTCCTTGTCCTCTTGACACTTTGGTTACACCCTTCACTCACATCCTAAGGCTGACAACGCAAGACCCCTTGTACGCATGTATAGCTCTCCTCACGGGCCTGGTCACAGAGCACTCGGAAAACACCTGGGTGTGCGTTTGGCTTTTTCCACAGGGTCATTAGCTCTCCAAAACTGAAGGCATGACTTCCGCACCCACCCAGCCCCAGTCCCAGTCTCCCCAGCTTAGGAAATGGCTCCTCTGTCCCCCAGCTGGCCAAGAGACCTCCCAGTCCTCCCCACACTCCTCTCTCCTGCCATCCCTCCGGGCAGTTGCCAAGCCCCTTCTAGTCTGTTTCCTCCAGGTCTCTGCCCCTGCCAGAGGTGGTGAACTGTGTGGTCACTTGTCACAGTCACCCACTGGCATTGAGCTTCATGAGGGCAGGTTCATGTCTTTCTCTGACATCTCTGTCTTTCCTGCACATTGCTGGCCTGGCGCACGGAGACTACTCGTATTTATCAAGTGGGCGACTCCCGTCCTCCTGTTGGTGCTGGCCTATCTTATTTGACTTCCTTTCTGCCCAGTACAAAGGAAATATTAAAACTCAAAACCCAGCAGCCTGTCTCAGGATCATTAGCGTTTCAGATGTGCTGACCCTCTGGGGGCCTCTTACTCAGCAGCAGGCTTGTCCCTTGGTTAGGAACTTAATGAGGAGATGCTATGTAAGGAGCCCAGTGACCTTGGAGTAACTTAAAGGTCATTTCACCTCTGCTTTGTGGCAGCTCCTTGCCTTGGCCTGCGTGCCCGACATCCCCTCCTCCAGTCCACTTTGTTCCAGCCACACTGTGCTCCCTTCAGATTCTAGACTAGGCCAAGCTTCATCCCACCTCAGGACCTTTGCACTTGCCAGTCCCATGGTCTGGAATGCTTTTCTCCTTCCATTTTTGTGTGGCTGGTTCCTTTGCATTATTGGCTTTCAGATCCTGAGGCCCCCTTTTTGCCCCCCTACCTTGAGGTGCCTCCCACCTCCTCTTTTATCACATGCCCCTGTCCCCCCTCTGGAGGGAAATATCAATTTGTCGTGTCTCCACCCTCCAGATTGTAAGCCCAGTAGAGGTTTCTTGTTCCCCTTGTTCATGGTGGTATCCCCCGTCCCTAGAAAGAGCCTCGCACACCGCAGGTGCTTAAAGCCAGCTCCTTGAATGCACGAGACACTCACAGCCATTTTTATTGTCTTCCAGAACTTTCAACTCCCACTGTGAAATAGAAAAAGACATGGGAAGAAGAAATGTGACTACAGGCCTGCTGTAGATAAGCTTCTAGAAATTTCTCTCCAATGTGCATTTCCGCCACTTCTTTAGGCGTTGTTACTGTCTGTCTTGATTAGTGTCAGGGAACCTGGCTGTTAGGCTCCAGGAAATGTGAACAGTCTCCTTCCAGCTGCTGCTCCCTGACAGCCACCATCATTCACAGCCGCCGGGATTGTGAGTGAAGACCCCCAACTCAGGGTTGAGCCGGCCCCTCAGTGGGACCCTTACTACCACTGGAACCACTATGCTTTGGTAATAAATTGTTTTATTAGAGCTTGGAGAGTTGAGTGTCTGCAAAAGAAATTCCCTTTGGAAAAATTTAGTTCCCCTTGGCAAAAAAAAAAAAAAAAAAAGCAGAAATCATAATCAATATTTATTTATTTTTTTATCCTCACCCAAGGACATTTTTGCATTTATTTTCAGATAGAGCAGGAGAGAGAGAGAAACATTGACATGAGAAAGACACATCAACTGCTTGCCACCCACACAACCCCAACCGGGGCCGGGGACAAACTGCACCCCCAAGGTACATGCCCTTAGCGGGAACCGAACCCAGGACTCTCTGGTCCGAGAGCCGACGCTCTAACTGCTGAGCCAAACCAGCCAGGGCCATAATCAATATTTACGGGAAAGAGTTTGAGCAAACACTACATTCACATGAGGATATAGTGTGGACTGTTGCAAACAATAACATATTAAAATGAAGTTTCACAAATTTAAAGAAAAAGAAAAATCTAGATTTCTTTTTCTCCCCACTTGCCCATTTCTTCACCCTTTCATCCATCCATCTACCCTTTCATTCATCTATTCAAACTTCATGGAGCCACACATCCACCCATTCCTCCATCCATCCATCCGTCCATTCGTCCATCCATCCACCCATCAGTCTGTCCATCCATCCGTGTACAGATACTCCTTAACTTACAATGGAATTACATCCCAATAAACCCATTGTAATTTGAAAGTATAGTATGTTGAAACATGTATTTAATGGCCCTGGCTGGGTAGCTTAGTTGATTAGAGCATCGTCCTGATATACCAAGGTTGTGGGTTCAATCTCTCGTCAGGGCACCTACAAGAAGCAACCAATGAGTGCATAAATAATAAGAACAAATTGATATTTCTCTCGCAATCAATAAAAAAATTTTTTTAATGCATTTAATGAACCCAGACACAGACCTATACCTTCTATAAAAAATTAACTCAAGCCCTGGCCGGTTTTGCTCAGTGGTTAGAGCGTTGCCCTCAGACCAGAGAGTCCCGGATTAGGTTCCCACTAAGGGCACATACCTCGGTTGCGGTTTGTTCCCGGCCCCAGTTGTGGTCGTGTGGGTGACAACCACTCAATGTGTCTCTCTCACGTCGATGTTTCTCTCTCTCTTTTCCTTCCTCTCTCCCTTCTACTCTATCTGAAGATAAATGCAAAAAAAAATGTCCTTGGGTGAGGATAAAAAATTAATAAAAATAAAAAAATTAACTCAAGGCCTGGTCAGTGTGGCTCAGTTGGCTGGGCGTCATCCCATGCACCAATAGGTTGCTGGTTCAATTCCTGGTCAGGGCACAGGCCCAGTGCTTTGGGCTCAATCCCCAGTAGGGGTCATGTAGGAGGCAGCCCATCAATGTACTCACATCAATGTCTCCCTCTCCCTTCCTCTCTCTCTCTCTCAAAATCAATTAACTATTCTTTACAATTTTCTTTTTTATTCCTCACCTGAGGATATTTTTCTACTTATCAGATAGAATGGGAGGGAGGGAGAGAGAGAGAGACAGAGAGAAACATTGATGTGATTGAACAATATCGACTGGTTGCCTCCCGCACAACCCGACCACGGACAGGGATGAACCACAACCGAGGTACATGCTCTTGATCAGAATCAAACCCGTGACTCATTAGTCTGAGGGGCTGATGCTCTAACTGCTGAGCCAAACCGACCAGGGCAATAAACTAGTCTTTAAGAAAAAGAGAAAGAGATGTAACGAAGTCCTGAAGCATGGCGAAGCACACTGTGCTGTGGAAGATGAAATCAGAACACATCGATTTTGTTGTTTTTGTTAATCCTCACCTGAGGATATTTTTCCATTGATTTTTAGAGAGAGTGGGAGGGAGGGAAGGAGGGAGAGAGAGCGAAACACCAACGTGAGAGAGACACATCGATTGGTTGCCTCTCGCACGCACCCCAACACACCAGCCAGGGCACAACACGCCGAATTTGAAGAGCAGTTGTCTGAACAGAGTTGTTAACTATGCCAATACCTGTCGGCTGTGTTGGCTCATTGTGCTCGTGTTGAGCATGTTTTCTCATAATGGAAACCATGAGAGAAACTCAGTGGACAATCAGTGGAAAAGAGAACGAAGTAGGCTGCATGTGACCACTGTCAAAACTAACTGCAGCCCTGGCTGGTTTGGCTCAGCGGTTAGAGCGTCGGCCTGCGGTGCAGAGAGACCCGGGTTCGGTTCCCGCTAAGGGCATGTACCTTGGTTGCAGTTTGTCCCCGGCCCTGGTCGGTCGTGCGGGTGTCAGCCACTCGATGTGTCCCTTTCACATCGATGTTTCTCTCTCTCTCTCTGTTCCTCTCTCTCCCTCCCACTCTACCTGAACAAAAAAGATGGAAAAATGTCCTCGGGTGAGGATAAAGAAAAAAAAAAACTAACTGCAAAGTAAAAGAGAACACAGACTGTCACAGCGAGCAGTCCTATCAGCAAATCCTGCAAGAAGAAACCGTTAAGGAGAACCAAAGCATAAGGAACACGTAATTAAAGAAAAAAGGTATGTAATTGGATAACCTATCATTTAGTTCAGGGAATCAATGAATGGTTTTTCTGAGTGGTGAAATGGCGAAACACACAAATTGGGCTTTCAGGAAGCAGGCTCTGAGAGAGACCCCTGTGCAGAGGTGGTGCCCCAGGGATGGTCCCTGTGGAGGGGGGAGAGGGGCAGGGGAGGCAGAGGGAGAACTGAGCTGCAGTGCAGCCCTGGAACTAGAACAGCCCTGCACAGTGGTCCCCATCTGGGCCCGGATGGCCGGACCCTTATTCCAGGTGGGCTTCCCTGGGAAGAGGCAAGACCTTGGGCGCAGTGCTCTCTGCGCACGCGCGCCTGTGAACGCTTTCTGTTCATTATTGCCACGGAGCCCCCAAAACAACCCTGCAAGTTAGGTTTGCGTCCATGTTACAGAGGGGAGACAGGAACCAAGTGACTTGCTCAGACTCATGCTTTAGCTGGTGACGAGGCTGCAATCTGAGCCCAGTACCGCCATCACCACACCGATGGGACACCCATGCTGGTAGCTCCTTGTGAGGCGTTGTTCCCGATGTCTCCCTCCGCAGAGAAGCCCTGGGCCTTCCAGCCAGAGGTCACTGGAGCTGGAGGGCATTCTTTGCGGATCTTTTTTTAATTTATTTTTGTTACAGATGTTTCTCTTTTTTCCTCCCATTGACACCCTGCTCCCCATCCGCCCCCACCCCCGGCCCCAGTTTTGTTGTCTGTGTCCATCGGTTATGCATACGTGCATATAAGTTCTGTGGTTTGTCTCTTCCCTCCCCTTATTTACGGATCTTGATCTCTGCATACTCAGTGGTGCTGGCGGCCTCCTGCTCCGGAGGTTCCCAGGGCCTCCGCCCCTGGAAGGTAAGGGAGGCGTAATGGAGCTCCAGGTCCTCCCCCAAGGCGGGGGCGGCCACAGCTGGGGGCAGGTGGTCTAGGTGGCTGCCTGGTGGACACTCATGATGGGAACCCTGAGTGGAAGAGGGAAAAGGGGTCAGATTAGGGTAATGGGGGCTGGGTGACAGCAAAGAGGGCCCACAAGCGAATCGGGAAACAGCAAATTGGTCTTCATCTGTTCATTCCACAAACACCGGCGGAGCCCCCATTCATCAGTCAGTCAACAAATATTTGAGAGTAATGATGCCTGGCCCTTGGTAATCAATTGCCAATCTCCTAGATTCCTCACAGTAGTCTACTTGGGTGATGCCACCCCTGTTCTCACTTGTCAGGTAGAGAAACTGAAGCTAAGTAAATATCCCCAAATCATACATTTAGTTGTTGGTAGGACCAAGATTCATGCCCAAGTCTCTCTGGCTTCAGTGCCTACTGCCTTATGGGATCACTCCCCTGTGCCAGGCGCTGGGTATTCTTTGGAGCACATAGCAGACACCACCCCTGACCTCCTGCCAGCTTGCAGTGGGGGAAACAGACATTAAGGTAGCAGTCAATTATATTACTCTCTAACTGCACATTTTAATAGGATGCACGGGGGGAGGGGGGTGGGTATGAGAAGGACAGGAATTTGCTCAGACCTGGACTACCCTGCCCTCACGGATCACTCAGCATTTCAGGGGTTCAAGCAAACACATTTGTGAAATTATATTATGAACCCTACAAAAGATAGTATACAGTAAAGGGTTAACTTTACCCAAGAAAAGTTTGACCCTCTGTCCCCAACCTAGGAGGGAACCTCCAAGCATTTAGAATGTCCTGCCTGACAAGAGTGTCTTTGTTCACGTGGGACCTTGGGCCACACCAGGTAGTTCATGGGATTGATGAGGGCCTTGGGCCACATGGTATCAGCTTGACCTCTGCAGGGGATGGAGACTGAGTTCAGCTACATGGGCGGTCAGCCATGCCCATGTGACTGACTGACCTCGTTAAAACTGGACACCAAGGCTCAGGTGAGCTTCCCTGGTGGGGATACCCCGGGTATATGGTCACGCATTATTTCTGGGAGAAGTAGGTGCTGCCCTCGTGACTCCGCTGGGAGAGAGAGTGGAAGCTCGTGCCTGTCTCCGGACCCTGGCCCAGGCGCCTCTTCCCTTGGCTGTAATGAGCTATAGCCATGAGTATAACGACTTTTCTGAGTCGGTGAGTCCTCCTGGTGAGTTAATGAGCACGAGAGTGTCTTGGGGCCCCCTAAACTTGTAGTAGACAATTATTTGGGGGAGATCCCTCTGGCATTCTGTGTTGGGGAGGAGAGTGAGGAAGGAGGAGGAAATGGGGAGGTGGGGGACAGGGAGGGTCCCTCTGAACCTGAACACATTCAGTAAGGTGGGCAGGTCCTTGGCTCTGCGAGAGGAGACAGACAGCAGAGGGGAGGGTGACTCCCAGGCCACTAGCTTGGGTGACTGAGTTGTTGGGGACCCAAGAGGAAAGTCTGTTTGGGGCATGAGGGTGATCCTAAGTCATCAAGACAGATGGGGCCATGGCTGTCCTGGGGAGGTGGCCAGTTGGCATCCCAATGGGCAGAGGGCCCGTGACTCACCCAGGAGGTGGGACCCAGTGTGGACGGGGCATCCTTCTCACCAGCTGCAGCCTCAGGTGCGTCCTTCCTGCAGGTCTTCACTCTGAAGGGGAGGCCGGGACCTCTCAGCAGCCTGCCTGGTGCAGAGCTGGGAGTGTGACTACTGTCTCCTGCTAACGAGGCTAGCAGGGCTGACCGAGGCCAGAACGTAGGGGACATACCTAGGCTGATGACTTGCATCATGACAACAGGCTCCCCTCAACTGGCTGGGATTGGGATGGGAACAGAGCCTACTCTGAGTCTCAGCCCCCAGGCCCACTTCTCACAACCTCTGCACCGGCTAGATTCCTCCAGGGGAGTCCATCTGGGATCCGAGGCCCCAAACCCCTTCCTACCCCTGCACCTGCCCTCCCTCCCATCTAGGGATGACACTCACATGAAGAAGATGAAGCAGAGACAGAGACTGAGCAGGGCAGTGACACCAGCTCCCCCGAGAGCCCCCAGAATGACTGTTTTCCTAGGCACCAGCTTCCCTGCAGACAAGTGGGGTTTGGGGTGACTCCCCTTCCAAGCCCCAGGACCCTGTGTCCCTTTCTCCCACAGAACCTGAGCTCTCATGTCCTTAGGAGACTCTGCCCCCCACCCTTTCTACCTTTCATCCCTTCCGGTCCAGCCCCTGCCCCCAGCTGCATCTTCTCTCTGATCCACCCCCATCTCCCCAGGCCTCTGCCCCACAGGCCCTGACCTGGCAGCAGCAGGACAGCGGCGCTCGGGGCCCCGTGGACATTCCTGGCCTCGCAGCTGATCCTGAGGCCCGCGCTGAGGTCCCCGCTGAGGCTCAGGGAGCTGTTGGCCCAGGGCCCGGCTGAGCGGGAGGTGACGGTGTAGGAGGCATTGCTGTGGTTCCCCTCCAGCAGCCCCTCCCCCAGCCGCCAGCGCACGGAGGGCGCCGGCTGGGCCCGGGAGGAGCAGCTGCACAGCAGACCCTGGTCCTCCCAGGAGCAGGAGGGTCCCAGCAGCTGTGGGGGGTCTGTGGGGCGCGAGGGGAAGGGTCAGCGGTGCCTCCAAACGCCCAGGACCCCGGTGTCCTGTCTCTGGCGGCTTCCCCTCCCCACTCACTCTGCACAAGGAGACGCAGGGAGCCGTGCAGGGAGCCCCGCGGGTGCTGAGCTCGGCAGGTGAATTCGCCTTCGTGCCCCGACTCCACCCTTGGCAGCTCCAGGACCCCGGGCTCCCAGGGCTGTGAGGGGCTCAGGGTCCGGCTGCCCTGGGCCCAGCTCAGTGTGGCGGGAGGGTTGCTGTCGGCGACACAGAGTAGGCGCAGAGAGTCGCCTTCCCGGACTGGAAGAGATGAGCCGTTCCCCACGAACTCCGGTTCTGGGGAGGGAGAGGGAGCGCTGAGCCCAGGCCTGCGGCCCCAGGGCCTCCCTCCTCGTTCTCTCCTCTCCGTTTGCTTTGCGCGGGGAAGGGATCTCCACAAGTACGTCGTCCAGGCGGCTTTATGGAAATATAGTTCACATGCCATTAAAGAGTTGTGTGACCACCCGGCCGGTGTGGCTCAGTGGTTGCGCGTCGACCCATGCTCCAGGAGGTCACTGGTTCGATTCCCAGTCAGTCAGGGCACATGCCCAGGTTGTGGGCCAGATCCCCAGTGGGGGGCATGCAGGAGGCGGCCAGTTGATGTTTTCTCTCATCAATGTTTCTAACTCTCTCTTCCTCTCCCTTCCTCTCTCTCTAAAGATCAATAAAGAAAAAGAATTTTAAAAAAAATAAGAGTTGTGCCCTGGCTGGTTTGGCTCAGCGGTTAGAGTGTCAGCCAGTGGACCATAGAGTTCCAGGTTCTGTTCCTGATAAGAGCATGTACCTCGGTTGCAGTTTGTCCCCCGCCCCGGTTGGGGTCGTGTGGGTGGCAACCAGTCGATGTTTCTCTCTCTTCCTCCCTCTCTCCCTTCCGCTCTATCTGAAGATAAATGTAAAAATGTCTTCAGGTGAGGATAAAAAAGTTGTGTAACCAACACCACAATCTATTTAGAACATTTTCATCAGCACCCCCCCCCCAAAGGAAACCCTGCACACCCCCACAGTCTCCCGGAGTCCTCCCATCCCCCCAGCCCAGGCAACCACTAACCTGCTCTCTGCTCAATGTCTCCATCTGGACATTGCATGTAAATAGAATCATATTCTGTGGGCCTCTCTCACTCAGCTTGGTGTTTCCCAGGCTCGTCCACATTGTCACATGTGTCACTGGCTTCATCCCTGTCCATGGCTCAGTCCTGTCCACCGTCTGGATAGACCAGGCTTTGTTTCTCTGTCCATCCATCCATCCGCTGACACACACTGGAGGTTCCCTTGGATTCTTCGAGGCATCAACCTGGACCACATTTCTCTCCTTCCTGAACTGCTCAGTGCCCCTCATACAAGAATTCAAAACTCAAGCACCAAATCCTTTGAGGCTCCTTGAGACCTCATCTCTACCTCCTCCTCTCCTTCCCCGGTTACCTTGGGATGAATAGGGCATTCACAGGTTGCATTCTAAAAGTCACAGAGGCCCTGGCCGGTTTGGCTCAGCGGTTAGAGCGTCAGCCCGCGGACCAGAGAGGCTCGGGTTTGGTTCCCGCTAGGAGCACATGTTTCGGTTGCAGTTTGTCCCCGGCCCTGGTTGGGGTCATGTGGGTGGCAACCATTCGATGTGTCTCTCTCACATCAGTGTCTCTCTCTCTCTCTCTCTTCCTTCCTCTCTCCCTTCCACTCTATCTGAAGAAAAAGAAAAAGCAAAAATTAATAAATAAATAAGCAAAGGTCACAGAGGAGCCCTTGCTGCTGTGGCTCAGTTGGTTGGAGCATCGTCCCATATACCAAAAGGTTTGGGGTTCGATTCCCATTCAGGGCACATACCTAGGCTGCAGGTTCAATCCCTGGTCAAATCACGTAGAGAAGGCAGCTGATCAATGTTTCTCTCTCACCTTTCTCTCTCTAATCAATAAGCATATCCTCAGGTGAGGGTTAAAAAAAAATTAAAATTGACAGAGGAGGGAGAAAGGGGTGTTGGGAATGAAGTCTCCCCACACTAACTCCTCAGACAACACATTCCTCTTGTCTGAGGCAACATTTATTACTAGTTTCTTGTGTGGCCCTCCAGAGCTATTCTCTAATACCTTTAGCTAATAGCACTGAAAATCTACACCCCTGCAACCTGGGCATAAAGCTCACCGCCCCATGACTCAGAGCGAGGACTGTGGCCTGGGAGCAGCGGCACCCCCGGGCTCTGGTTACAAATGCAGGGTCTGCATTCCCAAGAGCCTAGAGAAAGTCGCAGACTCGATGAAGCTTGAGAAGCATCGCGCTAGAGAAAGGCTGTTGTGCTCACCAGGCAACCGTGCGCAGTGGCAATACCAGGAAAACTAAAATCTGTAAACAGCTTAAGTGCCCATCAAAGGCGGAGTGGACAACTGGAGGGTGGTTCCTGTATAGTCCATCGATCTACAGACCAGGAGATGCAGAAATTACCGCCACAGGCCACGTGGATGAATGTCAAGGACATGAAGTGGAGCCACATCTAAAAAGGCAGCTGTGTCACCCTGGCCGGTTTGGCTCAGCGGTTGGAGCGACGGCCTGAGGACCAGAGAGTTCCGGGTTTGGTTCCCGCTAGGGTCACGTACAAAAAAAATTTTTTTTTAAATAAGGCAGCTGTGACCCTGCACTATTCACATTAGCCACAAGGTGGAAGCAAGCCAAGTGTCCATCAATGGATGAAGGAAGAAATCAGTGGTGGTTCATCCATGCAGTGGAATAGTATTCAGCCATGAAAAGGAATCTCTGATCCATGCTACAACGTGGGTGAGCCTTGAAAACATCACGCTGTGAAAGAAGCCAGACACAAAAGCCACATACTGTGTGATTCCATTTATATAAAATATCCAGAATAGGCAAAACCATGGAGACGGAAGGCAGATAAGTAGTCGCCTGGTGCTGGAGAAAAGGGGAAGAGGAAGTAACTGTTAATAGTACAGGGCTTCCTTTGGAAGAGATGAAAATGTTTTGGAACTAGACAGAGACAGTGTGAATGTCCTAAATGCCCCGGAATTGTTCACTTTTATAGTGGCTAATTTTTTAAAATGTTTTTTCTTTGTTGATATTAGAGAGAAGAAGGGAGAGGGAGAGAGAGATAGAAACATCAATGAGAGAGAACATCAATTGGCCACCTCCTGCATGCCCCCCACTGGGGATTGAGCCCACAACCTGGGCATGTGCCCTGACCAGGAATCAAACCAGCGACCTCTTAGTGCAGGGTCGATGCTCAACCACTGAACCACACTGGCTGGGCTATAGTGGCTAATTTTGTTACGTAAATTTCATTGCAACTAAAAGTAAATTGTTAAAAGGTCAGAGAGGAACACAAATGTTTCAGTCCTATTCATATAAAGCTTTCAAAAACATGGTGAATTAAACGCTGTGTAGAGATTCAAACATTTGGTAAAGTTATAAGAAAATAGTAAGAACGTGGCTGTGCTCATTAACATCATTTTGGTGGTGATTTCTCAATGTGCACGAATATTAAGTCATCACATTGTATGCTTTAAATACATACAATTTATTCATCAATTATATACCTCAATCAAAACTAAAGTAAAACCCAGCAGGTGTGGCTCAGTGGTTGAGCATCGGCCCATGCACCAAGAGGTTGCTCACCGGTTCGATTCCTGGTCAGGGCACATGCCCAGGTTGTGGGCCCAATCCCCGGGGTGGGGGGGCATGCAGGAGGCAGCCAATCGATGTTCTCTCTCATTGATGTTTCTATCTCTCTCTCCCTCTCCCTTCCTCTCTCTCTAAAAATCAATAAAGAAAAATACTAAAATAATAATAATGATAATAATAATAAAGTAAAATAAAAAGAATGATAAAAAGCCCCGACCAGGTAGCTCAGTTGGTTAGAGCATCGTCTGGATACTCAAGGTTGTGGGTTGATCCCTGTCAGGGCACATACAAGAATCAACCAATGAATGCATCAATAAGTAGAACAACAAATCTCTCCCCCCCTCCCCTTTTTTTCTCTAAAATCAATTTAAACTTTTTTTTTTTTTAAAGAATGGTAACAAAATTCAGTGTGGTGGCTTCCTCTGAGGTCAGATGGAAGGCACGAGTTCAGGGGGCTCCAAAGGGAGTGCTACTGTCCTATTTCTTAACCTGGGTGATGAGCGCCAACGCGTTCATTCTGTAGAGTGCATATATTTGACCAATCTTCTTCGCATGAATGAGTAGTACGTTAAGACGATCTGTCAGGCCTTGGCCAGTTTGTCTCAGCGGTTAGAGCTTGGGCCCGCCGACCAAAGAGTCGTGGGTTTGATTCTGGTCAGGGTCACGTATCTCCTTTGCTGTTCACCCCCAGCCCCGGTAAGGGTCCTGTGGGAAGCAACCAATCGATGTCTCTCTCTGTCTCTCTGTCTCTCTCTCTCTCTTTCTGTCTCTCTCTCTCTCCCTCCCACTCTATCTGAAGATAAATGAAAAAATATCCTAGGGGGGATCACCTTGGCCCTCCTGGGTTTGGCTTTGAGCCCCAGGCTCAGCTGTCTGCTGGCAACCTACCCCCATCCCAGCCTGGGGGAGGGGACATCCGGCTTGCCTTTGTGATTTCCTCCTCGCAAGACGCTGACGGTCAGCTTCTGTGGAGCATCTGGAGAGAGAGACAGTGAGGAACTGAGCGAGAGCTGGCCCTTCCCCGCGACCCCCCCCCCCCCAGACACAGAAATGAGAAGTGGAAGAGAACAAGGCCTGTGTCCCTCCTGCAGCCCATCATCCCCTGCCCGAAATCCCGGCCAGGACTCACAGAGCACGCTGAGCTTGATGGTCCTCTGGGTGCTCACCCCAGCCCCAGGGAAGGTGACCCGACAGGTGAGGTTGGTGCCATGGTCCTTTGGGCTGGGGATGAGCAGGATCTCCGAGGAGTTATAGGCCTCCAAGTCCAGTCCCAGGCGTCTGAGGGCAGCCCCCATCCAGGAGATGGTGAGGGGCGTCGCCCTGTCACAGGCCCCTGGCATAGAGCATGTCAGGTGGCTGGGGCAGCCGGACTCCAGGGGCTCCTTGATGCGGATGTCGGGGGTGTGTGTCAGCGCTGGAGAGGAGAGAGGGAGAGGCCAGGTCCCAGAGGGGACCCCGTGTGTGGCTCTAAGAAAGACACCCCAACCCTGGACTGCAGCCCATCCCTGTTGTCTATTCCTGGGAACCATTCCATACCTGTCACGGTCACAGTGAGCGGGTTGCTTTGGTAACTGTGATTCACTTGGCCTCTCTCCAGTAGGAAATAATAATTTCCACTGTCTCCCTTCTGGGCGTCTGTGATGCTCAGGGAGCAGCTGCCGGCCCTGAGGTCCCCAGAGAGGAAGAATCGAGATTTGGCCTTCCTTTGTATTTTCTTGGCTTTGGCTTTGTTGTTTGTGGCCACAAGAACATCTTTTTTGCTATTATCCTTTTTCCAGTACCAGTAGCCATAAGCCGGGGTAGAGTCGTTCAAGCCCACTGGGGGGTAGGTCACAATGCAGGGCACCTGGACACACAGACCCTCCTGCACCGTCACTGATTTCTGCACTTGCAGCCGGTACTCTGGATCCTTCCGCAGGGGCCCTGGGGGTGACACAGAGGCTCAGCTGCAGCATCGGCTCCAGCCCCGGCCCTCGACCCACTCACCTGCCCACAGCAAAGGCAGAGGCAGCGGCAGCAGCAGCAGCAGCAGCAGCAGCAGCAGCAGCATCTCCCTGGGGTCCTCGGGGCCGGGCCTGTTCTTGGACCATCGAGTTTCTGGATCTGCCTATCTGTCCTGGAAGGAGGTTCCAACAGGAAACTTCTGACTTCTGGAGGAGGGGCAGTGACCGTCCACATAAGAGGAACCGCAGAAGTCCCAGAAGATCCCCCTCTTCTGACTTCTCTTTTCACAGATGAAAATAACAAGGCCGCCCTGGCCGGTTTGGCTCAGCGGTTAGAGTGTCGGCCTGAGGTCCAGAGAGACCCAGGTCCGGGTCCCGCTAAGGGCATGTACTTCGGTTGCAGTTTGTCCCCGGCCTTGGTTGGGTCATGCGGGTAGCAGCCACTCGATGTGTCCCTTTCATGTCGATGTTTATATACATATATATATGAACAAAATATTGAAAAGTGTCCTTCGGGTGAGGATAAAAAAATAAAAATAACAAGGCAGAAAGCGGATGCGGGGTCACCCAGGGTCACTCTCAGGAGGAGGGCAGTCCCAGGAGTGGGCTCTTGGGGGACAACACTTGAGTCAGGACTCCAGGTTAGGTGCTGGGAGCAGCCATTCATCGCTCATTCACTCATTCTTTCACCCATTCACCCATTCATTCATCCCCCATTTATTCATTCATCCATTCATTCACTTATTCACTCACCCACCCACCCATTCATTCACTTAGTCACCCATTCATTCATCCACCCATTCATGCACTCATCCACCCATTCATGCACTCATCCACCCATTCATGCACTCATCCACCCATTCATTCACTCATCCACCCATTCATTCACTTAGTCACCCATTCGTTCATCACCCATTTATTCATTCATCCATTCATTCATTTATTCACTCACTCACCCACCCATTCATTCACTTATTCATTCATTCATTTTCCAGGCACACATCTCAATGCAGGAGCTGGGGGCAACAAGGACAGTGTGACCTACCAACCTCTACCCTCAGGGGCTTCACCCTAGCGTTACCCCAAAGCCAGCACTCCACCCTCACCACACCCCCCACCCCAGGCTCTCTAAGGACACTCAGCCTTTTCTGCCTGTCTCAGGGCCGGCTCCGTAGTCCGCACAGGGCGCCCAGCTCCACAGTGAGAAACGGGGCCAATTGCACAGGGCCCCATGCTCCCAAGGGTCTCGCGCCAGAAGTTTGAGATTACCATCTTTAAATTCCTAATACTTTTATCTCTTTTTTTAATCCTCACCCAAAACTATATTTATTGATTTTAGAGAGAGGGAAGGGAGAAAAGGAGAGAGAGAGAAAGAAACACTGATGTGCGAAGCACCGTTTGGCTGCCTCCTGCACACCCCCTACTGGGAATCAAGCCCAAAACTCAGGCGTGTGCCCTGACCAGGAATCTAACCAGCGACCTTTTAAAAGGTTCTTGGGGCCTGGCCGGTTTTGCTCAGCGGTTAGAGTGTCGGCCCGCGAACCAGAGAGTCCCGGGTTCGGTTCATGCTAGGGGCACGTACCTTGGTTGCAGTTTGTCCCCGGTTCCGGTTGGGGTCGTGTGGGTGGCAGCCAGTTGATGTATCTCTCTCACATCGATGTTTCTCTCTCTCTCCCTCCCACTCTGTCTGAAAATACATGCAAAAACGTCCTCGGGTGAGGATAAAAATTAAAATAAAATAAATGAATAAATAAACGATGCTCAACCCACTGAGCCACACTGGCCAAGGCTTACCACAATTTTTTTAATGCTCAAGAAAACACAACAATCCACAGCAAGTCAAGAGAGAAACTCCATGGAAGAAAGAATAGCAAATACCCTATTTCCAAATAAAGTCACATCCGCAGGTACTGGGGGGTTAGGCCTTCAATTTATTTCGGGGGGGGGGGGGCTGATACAGTTATTTTATTTTTTTAATCCTCACCCCAGGACATTTTTCTATTTATCTTCAGATAGAGGGGGAGGGAGGGAGAAAGAGAAACATGGATGTGTCTATCACATCTACTGGTTGCCTCCCACCAGGGACGAACTGCAACCGAGGTACATGCCCTTGACTGGATTTTGGTGTTTTTTTTTATCCTCACCCGAGGACATTTTTCCATTTTTTGTTCAGATAGAGTGGGAGGGAGAGAGAGGAAGAGGGAGAGAGAGAGAAACATCAATGTGAGAGAGACACATCGGTGGTTGCCACCCACATGACCCCAACCGGGGCCGGGGACAAACTGCAACTGAGGTACATGCCCTTAGCGGGAACCGAACCTGGGTCTCTCGGGGCCGCAGGCCGACGCTCTGACCGCTGGGCCAAACCGGCCAGGGCCCTTGACTGGAATTGAACCCGAGACTCTTTGATCCATGGGCCGACGCTCTAACCGCTAAGCCAAACCAGCCAGGACAGCAGGGGTGCGTGATACAGTTAAACTTATAACAGGCCCACAATAAAAACCCTGGACACCAACGCCCATGTGAGCTTCCTCAATGGGCGGTACTGGTACATGTCACACGCTGTCTCTGGGTGTATTAGTCAGCTTTGGGCTGCCCTAAAATACCACAGATGGGTGAGGAGGGGGGCACAGCTTAAACAACTAAAATGTATTTTCTCACAGTTCCGAAGGCTGGGAAGTCTAAGATCAAGGTGCATCTGGTGGGAACCCACTTCCCGGCTTGCACACGGCCACCTTCTTTTTTTTTTTTTTTTTAATTTAATTTTTTTTTTTTTATCCTCACCCGCAGACATTTTTCCATTTTTTTGTACAGACAGAGTGGGAGGGAGAGAGAGAGAGAGAAACATTGATGTGAAAGGGACACATCGAGTGGCTGCCACCCGCACGACCAACCAGGGCCGGGGACAAACTGCAACCGAGGTACGTGCCCTTAGCGGGAACCGAATCCGGGTCTCTCCGGACCGCAGGCCGATGCTCTAACCGCTGAGCCAAACTGGCCAGGACTCACGGCCACCTTCTTGATCCTCAGAACTCTGGCTTCTCTCTCTCTCTCTCTCTCTCTCTCTCTCTCTCTCTCTCTCTCTTTTAATTTAAGTTGTGGGGACAGTGCAGACCAGGACTGGCTTCTTCAGTGAGCCCCCAAGGGCCCAGAGTTTGTCTAAGTTGGAAAGTTGCTGACCAGGCAAATTGCTGAGTTGAAAGGAATACATGAAAGGAAATAGGATGAGTGCAATCTGGAACCGCTCAGAAAAAAAACACGGGTTCCTTTTCATCTGTAGCCGGCTCCTCATTTCTCAACCACTTGTCTCCCAAACATAAGATGACCTTACTTTTAACTAAATGGTCCCAGCATCAGCAGAGCTCATCCCAAACCTGGGCCTGTTGACTCAAGTCATTGCATCCCCTGCCTGTCCGTCCTCTTGCGTTTGCCACTCTATTGTCCGCTGCCCAGCCTGGACCCCTTAGGAGGGGGCTAGTGGGACAGGCTCTGTGGGGAGGGGACTCCAGGACTTCTTTTTGACCCAGACACTCTGTTTTGTCTTGGTTCAAGTCTGCTTTCCAATTTCCCCAGAACTGCAATATGGGCCCCTCAAACTGTCCGTCTTACTCTTTCTTTCTCTTTCTTTCTTTCTTTCTTTCTTTCTTTCTTTCTTTCTTTCTTTCTTCCTTTCTTTCTTTTCTTTCTTTCTTTCTTTCTTTCTTTCTTCTTCCTTTCTTCCTTTCTTTCTTCCTTTCTTTCTTCTCTTTCCTTCCTTCCTTCCTTCCTTCCTTCCTTCCTTCCTTCCTTCCTTCCTTCCTTCCTTTTAATTTTATCCTCACCTAAGGATATTTTTCCATTTTTTGTTCAGATAGAGTGGGAGGGAGAGAGAGAGAGAGAGAGAGAGAGAGAGAGAGAGAGAAACACCGACGTAAAAGGGACACATCGAGTGGCTGCCACCCGCACGACCCAACCAGGGCCAGGGACAAACTGCAACCGAGGTACATGCCCTTAGCGGGAACTGAACCCGGGTCCCTCCGGACTGAGCCAAAACGGCCAGGATGAAACTGCCCTTCTTTCAAAGCAAGTTAAGTTATTTGTCGCTTTTCCAACAGAGGGCCAGAAAGGATGGGGGTGGGGAGGCCAGCCACTGGCAGGATTCCAGGGACCCAAGAGCACATGGTTTTGACACATGGAGTCACCCAAAGTCAGGAATATCCAGGGGAAGAAAGAAACCCTATTCTTTTTCTTCTGCAGGAACCATTGCCCCTGGGTCTCCGTGGCCTGCAAACCAAGTGTGCATGTGTGTGTCATTGTATCTGAGCACCTGCCTGCCGGTACCCATGTCCGTGTCTCAGACATGTTTTTTTTGTTTTTTGTTTTTTTTTAATATGTTTTTTAGTGCTTTTTAGAGAGAGAGGAAGGGAGAGGGAGAGATAGAAACATCGATCGACTGCCTCCTGCATGCCCCCCACTGGGGATCGAGCCTTCAACCTGAGCATGTGCCCTGACTGGGAATCCAACCAGTGACCTCTTGGTGCATAAGACGATGCTCAACCACTGAGCCATACCAGTCAGGCTCAGATGTGTATTTTGTACCAGTGTGTCCATGTGGTGTGTGCACATGGGCAAATGTGGTAGGCATTTGAATTCAGCCTTATGGGCTAATATTGAAAGGGACCATCATAGCTTGGGTACCACACAGCATACAACACCCAGGAGTGGCTGCCCCAGCCTCTGGCTCATTCTGCACACAGAGACTAATTTCTTCCAAACTTAGAAGGGCTCTCTGCACCTGATCTGTGTTGCCCATCAGGCTGACCTGGGCCCAGGAGAGCCGAATCCTAGCCTCTCACAGCCCTCCGACCCTGGCATCCAGGTGCAGCTGGGGCATGAAGGTGAATTCGCCTGCTGAGCTCAGGTATGTGAGCAGGGCCCACAGGTACCAAGTCAGTACGTGACTTCCCAGACTCCTCTCAGGGTCTTGACTGTGCTCCTGGGGGCTGAGGGACTGGGAGGGGTCTGACCGAGTGCCGGGAAGGAACCTCTAGGGCTACAATGATGTGACGTTGCCCAGGGAGAGATGGAGTGGTGAGGGGTGAGGCTGAGTGTTTCTTTCTCTCTCCTCCCACAGACAGTATCAAAGAAAACACCAGATTCCAGGTGGAAAATTCAAGAAGAGAGTGTATGTGGTAGGCTGTCCCCAGAACCTGTGACTATGTTACCTTGTGTGGCCAGAGGGCTTTGCAGGTGTGATTATCTTAAGGATCTTGGGATGGAGATGGTCCCGGTCGACCCTAAATGTCACCACAAGTTTACAAGAGGGAGATCTGACTACAGAAGGGGAAGGAGAAGTGACCATTGGAGAGACTGTAGTGAGGCTGTAGTGAGACTGTAGAGACTGTCGTGAGGCAGCCACCAGAAACTGAACAAGGCAAGGACAGATTCTCCCCGGAACCTCCGGGAGAAACCAGCCCTGTTGACACCTGATTTTTATCCCCAAGAGACTCGGTTTGGACCTCTGGGCTCCTGGAAGGGTAAGTGAATACATCTGTGTTGTTTTAAGCCACCAAGTTTATTTATTTATTTATTTATTTTAATTTTTTTTTCCCTACTTTTTTTTTTTTTTTTTTTGTTTTTTTTTTCTTTATCCTCACCCGAGGACACTTTTTCATTCTTTGTTCAGATAGAGCAGGAGGGAGAGAGAGAGAGAAACATCGATGTGAAAGGGACACATCGAGCGGCTGCCACCCGCACGACCCAACCAGGGCCGGGGACAAACTGCAACCGAGGTACATGACCTTAGCGGGAACTGAACCCGGGTCTCTCGGGACCACAGGCCGACGCTCTAACCGCTGAGCCAAACCGGCCAGGGCTAAGCCACCAAGTTTAAATGTAAGCCCTTGGGAGGCTCTAGGGCAGGATTCATACCAGGCCCTTCGAAGTGCTTTACGAATATTAGTGCATTTAATAACGCTACGAAGTAGGGGCTATTATTTCCATTTTATAGCAGAGGAAACAGGCACAGAGAGGCTAAGCAAGCTGCACAAGGTCACACAGCGGGCCCACCGCGGTCTGTCCCGCCCTAGACCAGGTGGGGAGGCCTCCCTGTACTGACGAGGTCCGGGATTTGGGGTCTTGTCTGTCCTCCCCACTGGGATGTGAGCTCTGGGATCCGGGACTTCTGGTGCACAGAGGCATTTAAAGAACACGTGGAATGAAGAAGGAATGAATGGGTCTCAGGATGGTCACATCCCTTTGACCGGAGCCCTCCCGCCGCGCTTTGCTCAGGACTACATTCGTGGTCAGGGCATCTAGTCCCAGTAAACCGATTCTCCGGGCGACACGACCAGAAAGAAATCACCTCCTTGGCCCATCTCAGGACGAAACAGAACCGCTCACGGCGGGACACGGGCGACACCTAGCGGCTAAGTGCTGTAAGACAGCGCGGCCGGGTGACCCGAAAACTTTGCTTCAGGACAAAGGGAGTTGCTATGCGGTGTTAACGCCCAGTTGTCTGGAAATCAGTGCACGAAGCCGCGGGCTGTCAACCAGTGGCTCCCAAACTTTTCTGATACAGAGTAACAAATCATTTCACAGCAACATAGTTTCACGACATACCACCCTGTCCTGCGTGTTTTTCATTCTATTCTATTCCTAGTTTTAAAGGCTGGGCAAAATCCTTTAGGATTCTGACTCTGTAACAGGTGCCCATCTGAGCCATTTTTAAGCGCACAGAGAGTATAATGGATAAAGCTTTAGCACCTAGGCCTGGTCCCCTCTAGTAACCAGGTGACCTCTCTCCACATTTGCACATCCTGTCAGGTCCTGACTTCCAGATAAGGAATCTGGGCTCAGCGTGGCAAAGACACCTATTCAAGGCCACACAGCTTGGATATGCAGTGGCAGCTTCCGCCTCATTCTGGAGGAGAAACATCACTAAATGCTTCTGATCTCACAGTTATCGAGTCAAGTTTAATTTAGTCCTTTCTCCATTCATTTTTTTTTTGTGCCAAGATTGAGCTGCACTGGCCTGAAATGTACAATGAAAATTACTGACAGGCCAGAGCTCAGGCTTAAAATTGCAAGACTTTGTAAGAAATGACTCTGTGATGGAGATAAAGAGTATGTTTCTTAAAAAAACAAAACAAAAAACAAAAGAATATGTTTTTATGCTAGATTGTCCAAACTTGCCATCCCACTTAACCATATGTAAAGGTGACAGCCAAAGTATGAAAATCACCTTCCAAACAGCCACTGGCAAGGACAGCCAGGGCCAAAGTCCCCGGGAACAGAAATGCCAGGACCTGAGGGGAGTTAGCGTTGAAGACACTTTGCCCTGAGGTTCTTAGCTGCTCCACAGAACCTGAGATATCCATTTGCTCCTGCCCGGTAGCAACACCAGCCATGGATGCTTCAAACCAAGTTCCAGCTCTGAGGGTCTCTGTCCTCCCAGCTCTGTGTATCCAGGTTGAATATCCCCAGGAAGGCTGGGCTGTGGCCAAAAACCCAGAGCCTCTTGTTTTTCAATTTTGTCCTGCTCAGCACCGAGAGGCAGGATAACGAAATGCCTGGGGTCACCCAAATGGGATGTCTAAAAGATGACCCTCACCACAATAAGCTGATTCACTGTGTGTCTCCTGTGGCTGCCATAACTTATCACCACAAACTTCAGTCTCTTAAAAGGACAGAAAGTTGCTCTGGCCGGTTTGGCCCAGCGGTTAGAGCATCGACCTGTGGTCCAGAGAGACCTGGGTTCAGTTCCCACTAAGGGCACGTACCTTGGTTGCAGTTTGTCCCTGGCTCTGGTTGGGTCGTGTGGGTGGCAACCACTTGATGTGTCCCTTTCACATCGATGTTTCTCTTTCTCTCTCTCTCTCTCCCTCCTACTCTATCTGAACAAAATATGGGAAAATGTCCTCCGGTGAGGATTAAAAAAATAATAATAATAAAAGGACAGAAAGTTACTGTTATAGAGGCCAAAAACACAAAATCGAGTGTCAGCAAGGCCACTTCCTCTGAAGGCTCCAGGGGAGGTCCTTCCTGGACTCTTCGTTCCTGGTGGCTGCAGGCATCCCTGGGCACCTGGCCACCTCACTCCCACCTGTCTGTCTTCATGTGGGCATCTCCTTCTGTGTCTCCTCTCTGTCTCGTGTAAGGACCCTTGCCATTGGATTTAGATTCCATATCTACCTTTTTCTGAATAAGGTCGTGTACACAGATTCTGGGGGTTAGGATGTAGCCATATCCTTTGAAGGGCAACACACTACAGACCCCAAAGGCTAAATGATCAAGGGTGAACAAGAATCAAACGCATTCCCCGGTTCATGGAATTGCAAGTGTCAAACAAAAACTAACTAGGAAGGAGCAATGGGGAAGTAACTGCTTAATGGGCGGGGGTTTATTTGGGGTTAATGGAAATGTTCTAGAAGTAGATACAGGTGATGACTATACAACATTGGGAATGTACTTAACACCACTGCATTGTTCACTTAAAAAATGGTTCTCTAGCCCAGCCAGTATGGCTCAGTGGTTGAGTGTCAAGCCATGCACCAAGAGGTCACTGGTTCGATTCCCGGTCAGGGCACATACCCAGGTTGTGAGCCAAATCCCCAGTGGGGGGCATGCAGGAGGCGGCCAATCAATGTTCTCTCTCATCAATGTTTCTCTCTCTGAAATCAATAAAGAAGAAAAATAAAGGTTCTCTATCCAAAAGCTAACATTATGTTCCTTTTGTGTGAACTGACAGAATGCAAGTAAAGTGCTTAAAATAGTGCTTGGGCACTGGCCAATTTGGCTCAGCAGTTAGAGCGTCAGTCTATGGACCAAAGAGGCACTGGTTCGATTCCGGCCAAGGGCATATACCTCAGTTGTGGTTCAGTACCCAGCCCTGGTGAGGTTGTGTGGGAGTCAACCAACAGATGTGTCTCTCTCACATCAATGTTTCTCTTTCTCTTCCTCCCTCCTGCTCTATTTGAAGATAAATGGAAAAATATCCTCAGGTGAAGATTTTTTTTAAAATTGTGCTTTGCACATAGTAAACCCTCAACAAATAGCTGGAGCTGTAGAACAATATCCCCACCATGGCTGCCAGGCCATCTCCCACTTACCACCCAATGACCCCTGGGAGGCTTTAACCAGACAGGGGGCTCCTCCGCACGAGACACCCCATAACTCTTGTTGCAGCTTCCTGGCCCTTTGCATTTGGTGTCACCTTTTTTGGTGTGTGTGACAAGGGCCATGGGGAGCTGGCACCTTTGGCAATCTGTTCTTTTGCTGTCTATGCAAGTAATTCACAGTCTGAATCTAAAAGCGGGCGTTGCCTCATTACCAGTTCAGTCCTGGCCTGGCCTTGGCCGCATGCAAGCGTATGGGCCTGACCACAAGTATTATCTTATTTCTATTATCATTCTTGCTTTTGGCCCAAGACTGTCCTCTCTCCAACTTCTCTCAAAGACAAGACACACAGACTGGAAGAAATGCATTTTATTTCCGCCACACCCCCCAAAGGATCACTCCCCGCCCTCCCTCACTTAGATGCAGCCCCAGCCCCGACACCTTCACAAAACACTGATTTCCTCTCAGAGCTAAAATGAACTCCCAGTCACCAACTATGGCCCCACCCGCCCTGCCTGCCTTCCCATCTGCCTCCCCAACCCCAGCTCTGTGAACTTGGCCACCTTTGGGCTCCCTGCCCAACTGTAGTTTCCCAAGGTCACCTGGCTTGCTTTTTCTTTTTTGCTTATATTACTACATGGGTGCCATTCTTAAAACCCTCCCTGACTTATTCCCCAGGTGGCTCTCCTGTCCTCATTTGCACAGTCATTCTACATAGTTTCCTGGCCTCGCTCCCCTGTTCGAGAGACAGGTGTCCAAGTTCTCCCCTCCTCCCTGAACTCCCCGGGGGCCTCAGTCCCTCAGCTGTCACCTGAGAAGTGTCCATGTTGACTAAGGCCAGACATGCCAGAGGAGGATGGGAGCAAAATCAGAGAGGGGCAAGACAGGACACAAGGATAAAAGGAGAAAGTGGGGGATGGAAAGAAATTGGAGACAGAGGGAAGATGGAGGGACCCTCCCATGTCAGCCCCGAAAACAGGTGAGCCAGAGCTGAAGACCAGCACCCCCTACAGCCAGCCAAAGCCCCTGCCCATCTAGCTGTTGTGGGTCCTCTGGCTTCGAGCCTTGTACACTTCGATGAGTAGATCCTTGACATACTGGATCTCCCGCTCCACAGACTCGGCCCTCTCCCTCAGCTCCCGGTTCCGTGCCTCCAGCCCTTGGCACTCACCCTCCAGGGCCTCACCCTCTGCCCGCTTCCTCTGGCGGTACCTCAGAGCAGCTGACTTGTTCTGGTCTCTCTTCTTTTGCTTTCGGTCCCCTCGGGTGGTGGCAGGATTAGGGAAGGGGGCAGGACGAGAGGGCTGAGGTGGAGGAGGGGGCTGCTGTGCTGGGGGAAGGGGAGCCAATCCCGCATCCCCCTGCCCAGCCTCATTGTGGCAGTACATGACCAGCAAGTCGAGGGTGTCCAGGGCAGGGGGCTGGGGAATTTCAAAGGGGGAGAGGGGGAGAGGAAGGGAGGGTGCCAGTAGTGGTGGTGGTGGTGGCGGTGGTGGTGGTGGTGGCGGCTGTGGCTGCGGTGGTGGGGAGGATGGTGGGAGGAGTGGGGTGTCAAGGAAGAAGTCTTCCATCTGCTCCAGCTCCTTCTTAAGGAGGGAGGCCATGGCTTCCAGGTCAGGTGGGGATGGGGAAGGTGGGGGGAGGGCACCTGAGGGTAAGGGAGGCTCCAAAGGGAGGAGAGCTGTAAAGTCAACCCGCTCAGTCATCCAGTCAGAGAAGCCATCACCTGGAGGAACGGAGAGAGACACATTTCCTTTACTTCCTAGTCTTCCACCCAGCTGGGTGCTCACTCATCTCCGCTTCATTCATCCCATCCATTGAGTAAATCCCCCAACTAGCCAATCAGTCTACCAACCGATCAATGAATCATCAAACCAGTCCACAAACCAACCAATGAGCCAAGCAACCAACCAATAAATCAAACATCTAATTGACCAACCAGTCAACTAAATGAATCAACCCTTTTAACCAACCAATTGATGAACCAGTCAACCAGCCATTTCTTCAACCATTCCAACATTCTCTTTACTGATTAATCTACATCTGTGGTTTCTCTGGTTTACTCTCTAGTTTTATCTTAAAAAGCAAGCTAGATCCCACATATACAATATACCCTGTTTCATCTTTAATTCATTAATTGTTGAAAACCCACTATGTTCCGAGCATTTGGGGCACTCTAAGGGATAAAGTAATTCCTGCCTCGGGGCCTCTGGATATGCTGTTCTCTCCATTTGAAAAGCTCTTCCCTTGAGTTGTTTCATGGCTCATTCCTTCCCGTCCTTTAGGCCTCAGCCAAAATGTTACCATCTTAGCGAGAGTCTCCTGGCTATTCACTCTAAACTAGGTCCCCACTGTCATTTTTTAAAGCTCACTACTAAGCATCTCCCACTTAACTCGGTAACTCATCATTTAATCTCTCCTGTCTGTCTCCCCACTAGAGTGGGAGCTTCAGGAGGGCAGGGATCATGTCAGTCTCATTCTCAGCTATATCCCCAGCACTTAAAAAAATGCCTGGTAGCCCAGCTAGTGTGGCTCAGTGGTTGAGCATCGATGCATGTACCAGCAGGTCGCTGGTTCAATTCCCAGTTGGGGCAAATGCTCAGGTTGTGGGTCCGATCCCCAGCACGGGTCATGCAGGAGGCGGCCAATCGATGTTCTCTCTCATCCATGTTTCTATCTCTCTCCCCCTCTCCCTTCCTCTCTTTAAAAATCAATATAGAAAAAGAATGTTTAAAAATAAGTGCCTGGCATATTAGAGATGGTCAATAATTACTTATCCAATGAATAAATAAATAAATTCTTCCACCTTCTACCCTGCCCCCAAGTCCCAGCTCACCCCACCTCCATTCTCCACCAGCTCTTACCTGTCAGGGGCTCTCCCCCCCCTGGAAGCCCGCCCTCCAGGGCTCCCCCAAGGACCTCATAGGAGCCCAGGGGGGCAGGAGCCAGGGGGAGTTTCCCATAGTCTAGGAGCCAACCCAGCCCGCTAGCTGGGAGCAGGGCCCTGTCCAGCTCCAGCCCCAGGGTCGCCAGGAGTGACATAGCTGCAGCACAGGTGCAGGGCACGGATGGCAGTAAAGGAGGCTGCACCAACAGCTGGGGGGAGGCTCTGGAGGTCGTTCAGCTGGGCGAAGACAGACACCAAGGAGAAAGTGGAGGACCTACACAAAGAGATAAAAGTGGGTGGGGTTACAGGCCAGGCTCATTCACCACCAAAGTCACTGGGAAATCAAGCCACACCCCCACATCCCCAGCCCTCCCTCCCCTTCCAACAGGGATTGCCCTCCCAGAATTCTCATTCTGCTTTATCTTCCCCCCAAATCTCTGAGCCCTATCCACTCCCGAGGGAATTCTCTTTATGCCTGATTTACTTGTTTGCAAAATTCCCAAGACCCAGTCCTTCCAATACAGAAACCTAATGGTCTCCCAGGGGAATTTCCTTTAGCCCCCTCCGACCCACACCCACATCATAATATTCCATCATAAAAGAACTCACTCCCAGGGGAATGTATTCTAAAATATATTTCCTTTAGGCCCCACCCCCACGCCCTAGATTCCATCTCAAATCAGTTCCCAGGGAAATTCCCCAGCCCCGCCCCTTCATCAATGTTATCCATTCAAACCCCATTCTTCCCTTTGAGAACTTTGCAGTGACTTTCATTGAACCTACAAGTCCCGCCCCACCCCCACCCTCTCCAAGATTCCCGAGGCTCCGCCTCTTTTTCCAATCAGAGCTCCACCCCTCTTCTAAAGATTCTTAGCCCCACCCCTTCTCACAAGGGCTTCCGTAAGCCCCACCCTTTGTGACGGCTGCGACCCTAGCTCCACCCCATTCTTAACAGGTTGCCTCTAAGCCCCGCCTTCCACCCAATCAATCTAAACCAGCATCCTCCCCAGCAGATGCTTGAATGAAAAGGAGGGCTGCTGTGCCGTGCGACTACGCCATGTGGCACAGGGAGGGTGGAGGAGACTGGCGAAGTACAGTTTCCACCCCCACACCCTTTCCACTGTAGGTTTTCTCGCCGAGGGCCAAAGCACATGCTCCGCCCCTAGAACGGTCCCACTGCTTTCACACTTCCGCCCTCCTGAAGTTAGTGCGCATGTGCAGCTGCTTACTGCCAATCCTTCGCACTTAAATACGGACTGTGGTGCGCTAATGCGCATGAGCCACGGCGCGAGGACATAATCGTTCCAGGAAAAAAAAAAAGACCCTCTCTGGGGGCTAGTGTGGCGGCGCAACCACACGCAGACCATCTTCCAACGCCAACATTCTCTGGTAGAAGGCACCCTTCCCCACCATCGGGTCGAGTGCGCATGCTCGGCCGTGCGCCGACGCCCGGTTTCCCTCTTCTGCGCCTGCGCGACCGTGATCCCTCACTCTCGCCTCCCCAACCCCCTACCCGGGCCTAGTCGTGAAGGCCGCGAGCTTCGAAAGGGCGGGAAAGGCAGTTGGAGGCGGAGGGACGAGCGGTTACTCACTCCATGGCTGCGGAAAGGAGAGGCAGCAGCGGCCTCGGCTGAAGAAAGAAGGCAGGAGCGGAGAGCGCAGGCGCGGTGAGCGCGGAGACGGGCCGGGGACACGGAGGAGTCGCGGCTACAGAGCCATGGCCGGGGCTAGGCGGGTGGAGGTGGTGTCGCGGGAACGTGGGGAGAGATCGTGATCTGAGGATGGGGAATGAGGCGGCCCCGGGGACCATGAGCAGATATACCGGGGAGCCGCAGCACGGCGCGCCCGGATCCTTCCGCGCCCCGCCCCGGCGAGGCCCCACACCGGTAGGCGGCCTGGCCCGCTCCTCGCGGGGCTCCGGCCCCCTCCTTCCGACCCGGGAGTTCGGCCCTCTCCTTTCTCCGGCCTGGAATCCAGCCCCCTTTCTCTTCCGACCCCGAGGGTTCTGGCCTTTTCCGGTGGCTCTGGGGTCCTTCCCCCTTCCCTCCGAAAGTGAATCCGGCCCCTCTCTCTGCTGTCTTTGACCCTGTCGCCTGGTTTCCTCCTCCTGGTCCATTTCTGGTTCACTTTTCCTGCTTCACGAATCTCGGGCCCAGCCACACGCTGGTCTCTTCACGCCCCAACTTCGTCACAAGAAGAACCCTTCTTCGCGGGGTAGAGTCCCGCGGGAGTCACAGCCCCTCCCCCCCCCCCTCCCCGACCATTCAAATCACAGACCTGCCGCGGTGGCCTTGGGAAAGTAACTGAAGTCCTCTGGCCTCAGATAGATAGGGAACTGTCTGTAAAATGAGAGTAAGCAACTCTCTGCCTGATGGGGGTGGTTCGTGAGACTCCAGTAAGTCGATGCTTGTGAAGCCCCACGCATAGAGCCCAGCTCATTCATGCCTGTGCAACGTATTTTATTGTCAATGGGAACTCTGGGGCCCAGCCTCACCCCACCCACCCCTGCCAGAGCCCCAGACACTTGACCAACCAACTCCTGCTAAAGGGCCCTTCCTTGGTCTCCTTCACTTCTCCAAAGTGGCGATTTCCAGCCATCCCCACCCTTACCTGTTCCAAATGTTGGATGTTCAGCCCCATCCCCAACCCAGAGATGCAGGGAGTCAGGCATCATCGCCGGCACTCCACCTGCTGCCACCTTCCCTTACCCCTTGTCCACAGCACTGCTCTCAGGCCAGTTGGTTCGTTCTTCTGCCCCTGCTCCTTACCCTGACTTCCTGAGATGCCCTCCACTGGGTTAGTGTCACAACCCTGCCCAAAATGGGGGAGACCTATACATCCTTGTAGGAAAAGGGAGCTTTCTAGCTATTCCTTCCCTGTGCACTGGGTCCTTCACCAGCCCAAGTGGATGTGGGTCTTTCCTCTGCTGCAGAAACTTCTCTTTCCCATCCTGCATCTATCCACATCAGGATGTCACACCCAGAGTTCAGCCTTCATCGCTTTTACGGTGGTTATGGGACTGAATCAAAATCCAAAGAAAGTGAGGGAACCCTAATCTTGAGAGTTATGTGGGGAAGAAAGATAGGCAGTCTTCCTTCCCGTTTCCGTGAACATGCAGGAAGTCCTTGGGATGTGATCACTTTCCCATAAAGCACTTACTGCCCACTCTGCCGGTATTTGAGCACTTGCTACATTATTACCTATATATCACAGAGTAGCAGTTAAGATCATAGACTCTGGAGCCAGGTTGTTTGGGCTCAAACCCTGGTTGCACCCCACTTACTAGCTGTGTGACGCTGGTGATTTCCCTTTCTTCTCTGTGCCTCAGATTCCTCCTGGTTGGTTGGTTGGTTGGTCAGTTTTAAAGCCATTAATAGTACCTACCACTTAGGTCTGTTATGAGGATTCAATGAATTAATCCAGGTCAAGCTCTTAGACTAGTACCTGGCACATAGTAGGCGCTATAAAAAGGGTTGTTGTTGAGGTGGATACTTTATCTCCATTGCTAAACAGTTAGTGCTTTAAAACTATGACTGGTCTTCTAAGTGAAACTTAAGGACCAACCTCCTTCCACTTGTCAGTAGAGTTTGGAGCAATAGCAGGGGCATTAGGGTAGAGTGTTGGAAGACTGCTCGCAGTGAGGAGGCACAGTCACACACACACTTCTGAGAACTTTTAGGTTATGCACCAGGACAAGGTAGAGTTTGTTTATTTGTTTTACCTTTTATTTGGGAGTAATTTTAAGTTTACAGAAAAGATAGTACAGAGTTTCTGTATACCCCTCACCTAATTCCCCCATTGTTGCTTGTCATCTTGCATTACTGTGTTACATTTGTCATGGCATTGTACATTTCTATTAACTAACCAACTTGATGCTGATTTCACTGGTTGTTTCCCTGATACCCTTTTTTGTTCAGAACCCTTCCCAGATGCCATATGACATTTAGTCATTGTGTCTCCTTAGTCTCCTCTGGTCTGTGGCAGTTTCTCTGACTTCTTGTCTTTCATGACCAGTGCCAGTTGGGTATTCTGTGGAAAGTTCCTCGGTTTGGTTTGGTCCCGTAGGCTAGGACTATGGGTTTTTGAGAGGTTGGTCAGGTAGGATTTTTTTTTTTTATCCTCACCTGAGGACATTTTTCCATTTTGTTGTTCAGATAGAGTGGAAGGGAGAGAGAGAGAGAGAGAAACATCAAAGTGAAAGGGACACATCTAGTGGCTGCCACCCACACAATCCAATCAGGGCCGGGGACAAACTGCAACTGAGATATATGCCCTTATCGGGAACCGAACCCGGGTCTCTCGGGATCGCAGGCCAACACTAACCACTGAGCAAAACCAGCCAGGGCCAGGTAGGATGTTTTTTAATAACTGGAAATGAACTTGCTCTGTATGGGAATTGTGTTGCTGGCTGTGTGCAGTGTAGGCTGACTGAGAAGACACTGGGGCAGGGACCCTGGTACCTCTATCCCAGACCCTTGCACCTTTTTCTTTCACCAATTTAATTCTGGTGCCGACTGCCCCACCCAAGCATCTTAACTTAGTCCTGCTGAGTGGGTGCCAGTTCTTACACTTAGCTCCCTAGCCCTTCCGAGCACATTCTAATTTATGGGCGGTGGGTCATTAGTGGCTGCCTTTGGCACCCCGAGCCTGCTTTTGTGCCCACCCCTGATCTAGACCTGTGGCCCCTCCAGGACTCAAATGCCTCAGCCTCCCCCACCTTCGAAGAGTCCTCCAGGATCCAGGTTTCCCAGCCCTTTCAACTCTTGAGCTGGGGCTGGGAACATGGGTGGGGCTGCTGGGGACTCTTTTTCAGTTCGGAAGAACCAGACTTGGGGAGTGAGGTGGCAATTGCAGGCAGGTTGCATCACCCTGGCTCTTTAATGGGGGGTGGGGGCGGAGTGGAGGGATTCTCTGGGGGCTCCAGGAGCACCTGGCAACTGGCAACAGGCACCTGGCTAGGGGAGCCCTGGATCTGGGAGAGGCTCCAGCACAGCAAGGGGGTTGTGGAGGGTAAGAAAGAGCAGCCACCTGTGCAGGACCCTGAGAACATGAGACGCAGGGCCAAGATGGAGCCTCAGATCATAGAGGCTAACCCACTGGTCTTGCGTGGCGGAAGACTGAGGCCCCAAAAGGTAAACGGTATTTATACAATCCCACTGCTAGTTAGAGCCCAGGCCTCCCCCAATACATCACAGCTTGCAAGGCCCTACAGGCCCCAGGGCGAGTCTGCTCCTCTCAGATCTTACCCCCAGCCCAGGGCATAGCCTGCTGGGAATTCACCAAGCCTGGGCCTTCACCTTGGTTTGCTGCTGCTCAGTTGCCAGATTCTATTGACTCTGACTTGCCTCTCTCCAGCCCCCCTGCCCTAGAGGAGGCCCTCACCTACACTACTGCAGCAACCCCTCACTGGTTCCTCAATTAAGGAGACAGACGGTCTGGCATGATGGAAAGGGCACCAAGTTAGATGGACCCAGGTTCCAATCCTGGACCCACACCTTTTAGTCCTGGCTGGGCTGCAGGCACGGCCCTTATTCCGCCAGAGCCTCGGCTACTTTCTGCAAAGCAGGTCAGAATGAGCACGCTGGGGCCAGCCTGCTAGGTTCATATCCCAACTCCACCACTTCTATGACCCTCAGCAAGCAGCATCTTCTCTGTGACAGTTCCATCATCCCTAAAGTAGGGTAAGAGGACCTATCTCATAGGGTTGTTGTAGGGAAATAGATAGATTTATTTTAAATTGCTAGAACAGCACCTGTCTAGTTATGAACATTAGTCATTTCTCTCTAAGACTTTGGGATGCCAGGAGGATTGTGTGAAATTATGTAGGTAAAGCCTAGCACTTAACTACCTCAAGGATCTCTACATGTTTGTTTCTCTTCCTGTCCTCAGCACTTTACTTGCCTTTCATAGCTACCTCACAGACAGATGTTTGTGTATGTGACTGTTTCCCTGAGCGCTTAAAAGGCAAGGTCATTCCTGAAGTCATTCCTCACAGCCCCCCAGCCCTGTGCTGCTACCTCAGTAGTCATCAGTTCACTGGTTGGTTTGTTTGGGGGCGGGGGGCGGCGGCATTGTTTTTATTGATTTTTAGAGAGAAACATCAATGTAAGAGAACATTGATTGGTTGCCTGCCATACATGCCCTCACCAGCAATTGAACTCACAACCTAGGTATGTGTCTTGATTAGGAATTGAACGCATCCTTCTGTTGGTGCACAGGATGATACTCCAACCAACTGAGCCACCCAGCCAGGGTGGCATCATTTTGCTTTTAAATGAGTTGCTCATGCACAGAGGCTGGGAAATTCAGTGCTGTTGTCCCCGAAAAGGCATTAGGACGGGTATCTGGGTGATGCAAGCCAGGCAGGCAGCGTTGGAGGTGGGAGTCCTCGCAAATAAGGGCAGGAAGGTCAAGGCCAGTTTACTTGGGGAAAAGGCAGGTCAGGGCACAGGTCTGCCACGTGGCCCAGCAGCTCAGAGTCCTCCCGAACCCCTTCCCTTCCCTCACTCCTGCTATGCCTTCCTCGGCAGAAGTAGCCGCAGCTCTTAGAACCTAGTGAGGCCCTGCACTGCTGCGCCACTCTGGCAGCCTCGGTGATCTGTTGTTTCTATACTCACTGCTGTAAAAAATTGCCGTGAACTTGGTGGCTTAAACAGCACCCATTTAGCCCTGGCTGGTTTGCTCAGT